ATACAGGCAGCTCTTGATTTATGTAAAACTGACTTAAGTAAATCCAGTCTTACTCAAAAAGTATCCGATATACATAGAGTTTATGGAAATGCTGATGCAAAAAAACAATATATGCCTGAAAGTAAATTCACACTTTATCCTTTCATTTATATTCATTATTATATTCATATATATAATATGTGTCCATCAGTATGTATCAGTACTATATTTTGACTTAAGTGTTCTTTTGCAATAAGGTGTCTTGAGCGGTATGGGAAAGTAGATCCAACTAACGTAAAATCTAGACTTACCTTAAGGGTTTGTGGAATGGATAACTTACCTCAGTCTATAACTGCCTGTATATAATACCTTAAAGCATTATTCACTTGTCTGAAATAATATTATGTACATTTGTTTAACTTCATTAATTCAAAAAAGGGAAAATTGGTTACAATGGTTTAAGGGATTCATATTCTGATATTTTTGTGAAGAAAGGCTGTTTTGCATGCAGAGAGCATTCAGTTTGCACAGCCTGTGTATCTTTGTCATCCAAGGGAAAGCTTGTGTCCTCAAAGGTCAAGTTGTTCAGCTCAGCAGTTAACCCTGGGTTGAATATTGAACATGAATATGTCATCGCACCAACACTGCCACTGGTTTCATGTACTGGTTTGAACCTGTGAAATTTAGAAGGTTGTCAGCATCTCAGTCACTTCACCTGCCAGATTGTAGGACCTCAAAGGTACAATTCTGGTACCCAGATTGTAGGACCTCACAGGTACAGTACAATTCCGGTACCCAAACGTAGTCTAAAATGGCCGTAAGGTTCCTTTGATTGACCACTTCTCAAACTCCTTTCCATTTGCTTTCGCATTAATATGAAGTGATTATCTTAATCAGACAGTAGAAATCAGTTCAGGCCGGGCATCAGAAACCAATTACCTAAAGGCCTCAGTAAATCACGTTTCATACTCCACTCACAAATTAGCTACCACAGTCGGAGGTTCAAATCCCATCTCTGCTCTTTGTGTGTGTGGAGATTGCATGTTCTCTCTGGGTCATCCATGCATGTTTCCTCCTGCATTCCAAAGACATGTTGTTAGGCAATTGGGATTTCCATATGCCCAAAGTGTATTAATAAGTCGTGTGATGGAGTGGCATCCCGTCCAGGATGTACCCCAGCCTCATACCCTGTGATGGACGGGCATCCCGTCCAGGATGTACCCCAGCCTCATACCCTTTGCTGGCTAGTATAAGCTCTAAGCCCATGTAACCCTGACCAGGAAAACCTGTTAGAAATAGGTAGAGGAAGGTAAAAACTGAAAATTGGCACAGGATAGAATCCATCCATCCATCCATTTTCCAAACCGCTTATCCTTCTGGGTCGCAGGGGGGTCTTATCCCGGAAGCTATGGGCACGAGGTGGGGAACAACCCAGGACGGGGGGGCCAGCCCATCACAGACAGGATAGAATGTTTTGTTTTATTTTGGTACCCAATAAAGAGAAATATTTCAAATCATTTATCTTTAATGGTTTGAGGTATGACTATTGGGTATCGTCTGACCTCTTGAGCAGGGATCTCACTTTCATTTGCACGGCAACTTTCTGCCGTTGATTGTGACATTATGTTATGAATCTCCTGATAAACTTTTTTTCAAGCTTCACTTTAGTTCCTATCTTAGTGGGGTTTTAGTAGGCTTCTGTGAGAAATTTGAGGGTGAAATTGATCCTTCAAAAATCATTACATGTCAATTTCAGTGCAATCTTTGGAAGAAATAATGACATGGCATTGGTTTGCAAGAAGAGGAAGAAAACTCCTTATTTTCATTAAAAAAAATATAAATAAATTTGACATTTAAAAAATGAAATTTAATTTAATGGAAATAATTAAAACATGTACCCTGCGATTCGTTGATGCCCCATCCTGGGTTGTTCCTTGTCTTGCACCTGTAGCCTCTGGGATGGGCTCCGGACCCCCACGACCATGAATAGGAGAAGTGTTTTCAGAAAATGGATGGATGGAAATTAAAGCATTGTTTTTTTATACTTAGTCTGCATTAAAATACACGGATGATGAAAATCAAAGAATGAATTATAATGTCACATAAAATATTGGCATTACAACAAAAATATGGATGGATAGAATTCAGTGGGTGGGGACTTAACCAATTAAATGCTTTTTGTCCTTGTTGGTGTAACTATACTCTTAATTTACTGAGATAGATTAGGGCTTTTCCCACCATATTTGGGCTCGATGAAATGGCAGATTATTTATTTAATCAGATCGAAGGGAAAATAAAATGCCGCCAACACACATATTTCTACATGATGGGCTTCTGTTTCTCAGTTGCAGGTGTTTGGTTTAATCTCAGATCCATCTTTGCTTCCGTGCCACCTGTGAGGTGAGTGCTCTTCCCGACTCGTGGGGATTCGCCGGTAAATCCGTGCTTTTTCACACAGCCGCCCTTCATCCAGCTGCCACTTCGTTAAAACGAGATTTATGGAGGCCGGCTCTGCACGGGCCTCTGTGGGGGGCTGCGGCCTTCCCGCTTCTCTGCACTCTCACCGCTTCATTTCCTATATGCTGAATCCACTCCCTCCCACAGCCAGACACACCCCATGAGGCGAAGTACTGAGCTGCACCGCCCTCACAGCCCACGCCTGCCCCTCCCTCGCTTCCAAGCCTTTCTCTCCATTACCAATCCTTGTCAACAGGCTCACTACTCAAACGATCCTCGGGACTTATGTCTGCAGTAGCCTCCTCTCATTTAGTGACACCTAGTGGCAGATACATAACTAAACTAAGAATATGTTGCAAAGCATTTGTCTAGAGCAGGGGTGTCAAACTGCAGTCCTGGGGGGCTGGAGCCCCGTGTAGCTTAGTTCTTTCCCTGTTCCACCACAAATGATTCACCTCAAGAGCTGTGTAGTAATTAGCACAAGGAGGTGGAAGGAGTTCAATCAGGTGTGTTAAATGAGGGGAAACCCAAAAATATGTAGGGCTCCGGCCCCCCAGTACTGAAGTTTGACACCCCTAGTCTAGAGCATACATTAATGTATACACTGCAGTGCAGTCCCTTCCTCAGGCTGTGTAATTAAAAATGGGAACACCTTGCGTAAATGCAAAAATTGTTTACTTGGGGTTGGGGGTCATTCAGTCTGAACGATATATTTCCTCAAAAACATCTTGTTAACCCAGGGGACGTGTCAACAAAATTTCAGTGAACCAGATGGCATCATTTTTGTCAGGGAAAACTGGTTATTATCATGTCAGCATACAGAAAAATAGAGCAAGTTAAAACAACTGCTTCATGGATTAGAATGCAGCCTGGAAGGCAGAGAAGTCAAAAGACAGAACAGTGCAGACCTTTTGTATATAATAAATGAAAAAAATGACAGCAGAAGCACTTTCTTCAAGCAGAAAAGAAGTTCTACCACAAGACTTCGCCTGGGTGATACAGGTGTGCACAGCGCATGATACAGGTTGAAAAACTTTCAGTATATGAAATATTTTCTGGTTACTACACAGGAAAACAGGCCCACGAATGCCCTGCACAAGAAAATGGGCGGGAAATTTTCACATTTCCTCCAGCAAAGGGTTAACCTATCAGCAGAGATGGTCAGCATCACGTGACACTGTCCCCACTGAAGATCCACTCGCATATATGACTGTGTGCTTTATGTGAAGTGTGCGTCAGAGATTACAGGCTCTGCCCCAAGACACTGTTACCTGCCTGCTGAATCTGACCTTAGGAGTACCAACATCTGTAATATATGAGGACTGTTATCAAATATGGTGGAATCCTAATTAGGATTAATATATTTGTATTCTTGATGAAATTGGACAAACACCTGCTATTCCTGCTAAACTAACATCCCCAAAGTCCCTCTCTTAAAAGCACAACAAGGGCCTTTAGAGGCTTATCTGATAACCTGATATCTGACAACAATTGGCCACTGTGATGCAGAAGCCCATCCCTAGTACCGAATATCAACAACATTCAAGACGGTAAGAAACAACCATCATAGGAACGATGACTCTGAAAACAGAACATCCAGGAAAAGTGAAGCCATGTTTTAACGACTGCATAAAATCTGGTGATGTTTCACTGCCACTCATGTCAGTTTTATCGTTTGCATACTTTGAGCTGCACTAGCAGCCACGATTTCCCGCTAGGGATTAGCCAGCTCATCTCGTAGCTCATGTTGTACCAACCTGCTGTTATATTTACATTTTAATTAATTTCACTAAAGAAAGCATAGATTGCTTGTCCTTCAAACGTTAACCTGGCCAAAGCATCCTTCCCCAAGGGACCACATTATTCATTTGCATTAGGTATAATTAAGCCTCCCTGTCCTGCGACTGTCATCCTAAAGATCAAACCAATGATCCATGACATTGTGAACCAGAGGTCGACCAGGAACTGTTTAACGTGTTTAACACAAGTCTTCTGGATTATCTGGCCCTGCAAAAAATTACATTAGAAGACAATTTGACAAACCAACAGGTTAAGATCGTATCGCAAGTATTCAGTTTGCACCAAATGTGTTGTTAGACCTAGCTAATGCAGCACTTGACCTTTTGGTGTCGGGTGCAAAACAGATAATCCTCTGGAGGCAATAAAGTGCTTGTTTTCATTGCCCTGTATTGTCCCCCCATTACCACAAAAATCACTACATGCCAGGTATTTCCTACCACAGTCAAAGTACCAACTCCAAGACAGGGATCAGTCATCCCACAATGAAATACATTTACATTGTAATTTTAAATGATTTAATGCATGAATGTGTGTATAGGTCCTAATGACTAATACTCCCAATGGACCATGAGGTCAAAGCGTATTCTGAGTTAACACAAATGAAACGTTTCCAAACTGTGCAGCAACAAACAACTCTAGCTGCTACTGAGCTGCTCTCAGAACGTGTAGCTGTGCTCAGTCACACCTATGAATTCCCAGATTACACCTGTCAATCCGAATGAGGGGCCATCTTAACTGGGAGCAATCAATGAAGCACATGACAATTTTTATGACCCACTAGGAAAACTATCATTTATTTAGAAAAAAAAGCATACACTGGAAGAATACAGCAGATAAAAACTCCAAAAAGTAGTTCTGAAAGTTTGACTATGCAGTACAAAGCTTTTGAAGTTTTACAATCTATTTAATTGCTTAGTGAAGAAATGCAACTTTATTCATTTATACAAATCATTTAAAAACATGATAAATGCACACACGCACGCACACAACCGATTAAGCTAGGGACATTTGAAATAAAAGTAACAAATTTTAATTACATGTAACCATTTTATTATTGTATACATAATATACAAATAGACCAATTGTATTGTTCCAAACACTATGCCTAAATACCACATACATGGATTAAAAGGAGGAAAAAAAAATAAATAAAAATCGGAATCTAAATGAGGTAAATGCAGAGATGGGAAATGTATTGTTGATTGCTATTAAAAAAAAAAAAGTCAATTGAGAAATTATACAAAAGCAGGCAGGTTTGAGGACAGCAAGTTAGAGTATTCAATACTTGTTTGTACTCAAATTTTGTTATGTGAGCAGCACATTGTGCTAATATTCAAAGAAAAGACTTTCAGCTGTTTACTGAAAATACAGTGTAAGATACAGGATAGCAAGTTAAAATACTAGAACTAGACCCTTTTTAGGCAGTACAAAAAATATCAATGGAGGGAGCAATTGTCGAAGTGGATGGTTCTTTTCAGACAGATTGACAGGATAGGAAGTGAAACAAGAAGCAGACACGTTGCAAATGTTGAGTAAAAGTGGCTCTCCAGACTGTAGCAGCCCGCAGCAAGGAATTCTGGGAAGACATGAAGAGTGTCACAGAATCCACACCCTGTGTACCTATGTGAAGGACAGTTTAGCATAGCAGCCCAGCACCGTAGAGAACTGGCAGCGTATTTACAAACAGCCATTTCTGCCGCCAAATGATTCAATTTAAACATACTTAAGTTCTTTTTAACACAATGCTACATAATTCACAGCCAGTCACAGGCGTTTCTTTAACTTGCCAAGATGCCATTTGCCTGCGATAATTAGTGTACTTTCTCGCAGCTTTAGTGCTCATTATTATTCACATTTCAAAATCCTATTTAAAAGCCGCAAATCTGACAATTACCCGACAATCAGTGCCTGCTATACCCACCCAATGGTTCTTAACCTTGGAGAACATGGGGACGTAGTGACCACACAGTGCCCAGCCCATGACCTCCGCTGCACAGGCTGGCCAACCATCCAAGCACATTCTCCCAGGGAATCATTTTTAAAACGCCTCACATGCGAACTCACCTTTGGCAGGACCACTGTACATTATCTGTGCTTCTCTGACGATTTATGAGTGTCACTGTTAAGGTGAACGTTGATTTAGAGCTTGCTAACCCAGACACAGCACAGATTGTGAAAGTCAGGAGACTGGAGGATCAACGCAGTGTTAAACTCCTTGGCAGCAAGAGGACGATGGATCGTTCCCAAAAGCCGCACCTTTAAGCTCACGTTCTCTGCAAAGGATATTGTTTTTTGTCATCTTTCGCCCCGGTGCTATCGCGCTTCTCCTTCTTATCAGATTTCTCCTTGTCGTGCCTGGACTCCTTCAATGTGCAACAGAACCGGTCAGAGTTTTGCACAATAGACGTGATACACAAGCAACATCAGACAAAGGCGCTTAAGAATCTTTCATGCAATCCGAATCCTAAATCAGACAGCAGTTATTGCTGTAAAGACCAATATTTAATAACTGCAAGGGCTTCACTGTTTCTTCAATATTGAGGGGGGGGGCCGCGACACGGATCACTTAAGTGACCGAGTCAAATCCATCCTCTCACACTATCCAGTATGACATCACATGTATACCTATGTATATGCTACCCGTCAGCTTCCATACTGATTGTACACATACATTTATGCGTATGCAACCGAAATAGTCGGTTATATGCTTCCCCCTCCTCCCGGTCAGTAGGTTAATTAGAACAAATTCTCCTGGGAAGTTTATTAATATTTTTAAAAGCAAAGTTCTAGAAAATTGGGTAGTACAAACACAAAAGACCCCCCCCCCCCCCATATGATTGAATTCTATATATAACTGACTGACAACAGAACCAGGACAATAGAACTGCACAAACGTCTTCATGCCCCCACCTTTTTGCCACCAGAGGAGTTCTTCTCAGCCTTGGCCAGGTCACTCTTTTCCTTGGTGGAGGACTTGGAGCTCTTGCTCCTCTCCTTGTCGGTGACATTGGCGCGTGGGGAGGTGGAGGGGCTGGTGCTCCTGCTGTGCTTGGAGGAGCCTGGGGAGGGGGGAGAGAGAGATGGGAACACGGAGGTCAGCAAGTGCAGAAGAATGTTAGTCTGATGATGAACATGGGGGCTGGCAGGTGTGAGCGTCCAGGTAGCATTACAGAAGCCGAGAAGAGGAACAGCCAAAACCATACACTCAACTCACCGGTTCCGTTCTCATCTTTCCGGCGTTTTACTTCCTGACTCAGCTCACGGTCACTGTTTGAATAATCCTGAAGGGAGGATGACAAGAGAAAGAAAAGCTCTGGAAAACTTTGCTGAGAAAGTATTAGGCTCCTTGACCCTGAGACCCTGATGCGACTTCATTTAGGTCGAGTCAAAAAACCGGCACCTGGGCCGCAATCGGCAGCTTCGCTCAGATCAGTACTTACTCGCTTCCTGTCCTTCCTGTCTTTATCCTCCTTCCTCTCCCTTTCTTTGGACCGATCTCTGGGTTTCTCAGGTTCTTTCTTATCCACCTCCCTCTCTTTGCTTTTGGACTGAGTAGCTGTGCTGTGGTTGGCGTAGTGCTGCTGGGATTAAGGAACAGGCAAATTGAGTCTCTGAGGCACAACCTCATTGAAGGAGAAAGAACAGCTCCACTGCTCCAGCCTGGCGCCACCCGCTGGCAGCACCCAGGCACGCCAGGACCTTGCATGCCCATGTTGCGTGCTGGCACTGACTGGACCCGTGTTTGCATTTGCAGCAGGTCTTGCGATGTTGAATGCATACGTAAAGTAGGAAAGAGGCAGCGTACCCAAACAAACCGACCAGCGCTCAGATTGAAATCACCGTAATTATCACTATAAAAATAAAACTACAGAAAGCATTAATGGGCACAAATACTAACGCCTACTGGAAACACAGCCAGGTTCAGCAGGCCAACAGGTCTGGCTACTCTTTCACTGCTTCCCCAGAGACGTGGCATCCGCCGGCAGGGGGACGCTGCTCACCCAGTCACAGCCCATCCCCAAGGCTGCCCAGGTACCAGCCGAACACGCCGCTAATTTTGGGAAACGGCCACAACGGTCAAATTCCATACGGCGCGGAAATATCAATAAATACGTACAAAACACTCTATGCATTTTTAACACACCAGACTGAGCTGACGCATTTGACTATAATACCTGCACTGTCATCCCACATGGCTGCGTGAAGCCTACGGGTGAGACAGTTAGATAACCCTTTTTAAAGTGGGACAGTAAAAAACACTGACATCTGTGTAAGCACTGGAGGCTTTTGTTTCAAACCTGCAATCTGAGCACACATGTTCTAATTTGGAGGTGTAATGAAGCACATGATGCAAAGGGAGCATCTTGCTTGCTTTATAAATGGCTGCTAATTTTGTTTATTAGCAGCTCAGGTACAAGCCCAACATACAGAAATATATCATGAAAAAAAAACAGTTCTAGCGTGTAACCAATGACAAAATGCTTCGAAACAATCAATATGCACCAAACAAACAAACCAGTGAATTAAAAGAAACTGGGAGAGGAAATCCACCTTAGCCACAGCCAGCCTTGGCGAGGATTATCCAGTTACAGCAGTAACCCTGATTTAATCTAGCAGCAGTCATATGACCCAGTCAAAAGGGCAGCAGGAATATTCAAATTGAGGACAAATCAGTGTCGACCAAGGCTCCCAATACACAACACCCAACAAATCCCTGCCATTTTCCTGCAGTTTTGCATAATTCATTTTTTCCCCTGTGGCCCCAAGTGATAGCTTGCAAGAATTTCAGGAATTTAAGAGCTGTCGAATTTTCCGGTAGGGAAAGCAGAGCTTTAGTGTTCCCTGCCTGCCTGTCTTATCAAGATTCATACCGGCACACAGCGGATTGCTCCTGGAAGTGCAGGGAAGGAGTGGGAGGGTCATCCGACTGAAGCCGCCGGACGTATGGCAGCACAGAGACCTCCGCTGGCTTCAACAGGCCGTCTGTCTGCTCGAAGGCGGATCTCTCCTCCGCCGTATGCAGTTACAGTGAGACAGGCTCCGGCCAGCTGCGGGGAGGCGGCTGCGAGGAGGCGGGCGGGTGACTGCTGCCTGCGCTTCCGCGGGACTGGAGTGACAGCGAGCGAATGGCAGATGAGCAGGTTTATCAGGATGGCAACACGAGCGCTTGTTTAACAAGGCCGTCTGTGATATGCGAGAGGCAGACAGGGGTCTAAGTTGTGACTAATCATCCCCCTATTAGCTGACAACTGTTACAGCGTGTTGTCACTTGTAACATACTGACAGCAGAGAGAGAGGGTTTTCTACTTCTATATTCAAGTACTTAGCATACAAAAAAAAAGAATGAAAAACGTAATGGGCCCAATGAAGTCTAGGTGAGCTCAGCAGCGCTGAGGGAGCCTGTCTGAAATGAGTAGCCTACGGTATGTTGTTACAGGAATGTTTTTGAGGGCTTAATTAGGCCTCAGAAGGCTTCTGATGGTTTTGTTTTCACTGTCTGGGTCTGCAAAACTCCAAGGTATGTAAAGTATCCAAGTTGTGCTGGGCATTCTTCACAAATTCCAATCTGATCCACAAAAGACCCTCAGAGAACACGTCTAAATTGTTTCTATTAGAGATGTTCAATAAAACCTCGGGGTGGAGAAAATAGCAAAAGAGAAGCGAAAGTAAAAACTTTATCTGCGGGCTGCCCATGTGCGGAAACATCATTTGATGATTTATGTCGTCTTCTAATTAAACTGAAGTAAAGGAAACTGGGCTTAGAAACTGATACATTGACCACCAACTACACTTTATTTTGGAGTGGAGAAGAATCACCCAAAAGAAATAAGAGCAAAGGCTTGTATCTAAACTATAATCTCAAGCAAGAATGAGAAATTGCAGTGACTGAGACACACACACACACACACACACACACACACACACACACACACACAAAGGAAATGTCCAACAAACACACTGAATCTTATTTACTGCAGGGCTGTGGACAAAAATCTGGGTTACTGGCAATGGCAATATAACACCCACAGTTTACCTTGCTAGTCAGATAACCAGACATCTTCCCGCCAAAGAGGGTCTCAAAAGGTGTTGGCACATCACTGTTCCATCACACAAATACTGACGTCAGCTGAAAGAAAACTTCAATGCTGCAGACTAGTTTTTCCATTCATAAACTCTATGGTGTCAATTTTCCCCCCAAAATCATTCTTAACAAATATTTAAATAAGCAATTTGCTGTATTTGATGCTTGAGCAAATCTTTAAAAAGTCATCTATGCTCTGTGCCAATACTAAAGCTGAATTTTAAATGTGTAAACATATCTGGAAGTGATTCAGCCAATCAGCTCAGGCACTGTAGAACCACCACCAACTAAAAGTGTGGTGGATTGGCTAACTTCCCCCAATATGATGCAACCACGTTAATGCTGAAATCTACACGCATCATGTCGTTCAGAGAGTTGAATTTCTTTAATGTTTGGAGAACTGACTTTAAGCATTACGGCTGATTTATATTTCGGCGTCAAGCTTACATCATGCCCTGGGTCATTGTGAGCATTTACACTCAAACGTGGTCTGCACTGCACAGTTACATTTCTGGGGAGGCGTGCATCAGGCTACGGCATGGGGAACATGACCACACTGTATCGATGGTGCAGACTCTAGGGAAAATTATAAATCAGCATTTAGATACCATCACCACCTTCCTATATGCCTCCACCTATTTATATGGACTTTCACAGGGCTTCAGACCACTGTCCAGCTACCGCCCCGATGACGGGAGTGAGCCAGATGGGACTGAAGGTAGGGGGCAGGCCTCACGGTCATCCTGAGCCAAATCACAGGCGCATTTGAGGCGCAGGAGGTAAAACGACTATAATAAGACATCACACAGGCAGCATACTATAATTAATATGGCGAACTCCATGCTGTCATGGGTCACAACTGGTCTGACATTCCCATCTCACACCGTATTCAACTGACAATCTGCACCCCTTGCAAAACCAGGTGCGGAATATCTCGTTTTCAGCAGAAATGACTAGGTGAAATGTGTATATGCAATGCGAGCAGCATTTAGGGGATTTAAATCAGTACTGCAGGTAAGTTAATGACATAGGGAGTGATTCATAGCACAGCCAATTACAGAAACCGTGCACTATATAGTGCGTAAAGCATTGTATAGTAGTGTTTACATTTTAAAATGTCAAACATGACAGTATATAGTAGGCTCGCACAAGCTGCGACATTTAATGGACATTGCATGTTAATATACATGCAACTGTCAAATCCCAAGGACTGACAGCTGGGTTGAAAGCATCAATAAGTTATGGTGAAATGTTTTTACTGCCACAGGAAACAAAACATACCAAGTTTTACAATTTTAATGATTGTCTAGTATTTATTTATTTTTTAAACTGTTTACTGCTCTGCTTTTGCATGAGCTCTGCATCCAAGCCAATCAGTCATTTTCATTGCTGTTGAACTCAATCATAGACAGTGTGGCACATTTGTGACAAATTTACAAAAGTGAGGAAGGAGGACAAACACAGAATTGGACACCAAATAGACATTTGTCTTCCGCTGTATGGAAATATTTGAGATCCCATAGAGATGATATTGAGCTAAGACAAGTGAGTAATGGGAACTACTCTGTGTGGGCATAACTTATCTGACAGATAATTTGGTAAATTCTGTTTGACTAGAGTTAATTTTGGGTAAAATTTCAATTTATTTTGTTTTTATAAATGTCACAATTTATATTGCAAAATTTTTCAAATATCACAACAATTTTTCCCAATATTGTGCAGCCCTACTATATAGTGCACTATAACCACCATAATGCACAGCAAACCACAGGGTACAGATGATGCACATTATGTTGTATACTAAATTCAGTGTGAAGGGTCTGCTGTCAACTCACCATTCTTGATACAAAATGGCAAGAGGGCAAGTTTGTATACAATGTAAGGAAAATTTTAATCATTTCAAAAGTAACCTAATACTAGTAATTTCTTGAAAGACTGACATTTCAGATTAACACTTTATGATAATAATGAAGGCAATAAAAATACTAAGTTACGGGCTCACACATTCACCTCCTTTACACTGTATGTCGTCTCCATATTGCCAATTGCAAATGTCAGCTGTCAAATGTTGCTATGATACCAACACAGAGTGTATTGGAATGTAATTGTCAAACCCGTCATCTTGTTCCACTGACTAATTCCGTATATAGCACACTGCATATTTTTCTATATAGGGAATAGGGAGTGACAACCATTTTGAACACAGCCACTGTATATATATTTGACCTAAGCCTGACTCCAACTCAAGCATGGTATATACTCCATTTGTGCTTTTTAACCCTCTCGAAACCCGTTTGGGTTACTCTCCCATTTAACACAGAGCTACTAAAAACAGTACCCACGCCCAGGGAAAGGGGGCGCTATGTAGTACCAGGCATGGCAGCAGTAACAAACCAGGAGGAGCAGGAAAGCAAGAAAGACACTGAAACTTGTCAAACCTTTGAGGCAGAATCCTTGAGTTCGTTGAGACCGTCCTGTAGGAATGAATGGAGATGACAGATGAGCTGGAGGGGTTGGCAGACAGCAGGAGACTGGGTGGGGGCAGGATGGCTGTCACTCCACACATCCCCACAGACCTTCAAGGACTAGAACTTTGACAGGGTTATTGGGTGAAGAGGAGAGACTCACTGGGGAAAGTTCACCTGGGCTCCGTGTTGCTCCCTGCATCAAGTTCAATATTCCCTATCCAGGGTACTTTCTAGTCTTTTCTGACATCTGTATTTGAAGACTTGTGTGAAATCGGCAAGACTTCCTAAGACGGTTTTCAGATTTTCGAAAAATGTATTTAATTTCAGTGAATGTCGTACACCTTGCGGCAGTCTCACACATATCAAACGGAAAATGTGTAAAGTCAGTTCATCGGTCCAAATCATTTCACTTTTGTATGTGAGGCTAGAAATTTAGCTTGAGTGGTGGTTGGGAAACGAGCGGATTTTCAGCACGACCTGAACCGCCTATGTTGGGAGGCGAGTCGAGCATCATGACCTGCTTTTGCTAAGTTGCTCAGCATGTGGGAGCACAAAGCAGCGTTACATAAAGGGATTCTGCCAAAAGGCTGTTTGGTGCACGTTACTGTCTGCCATCACCAACTCTAAAAGTGATACGTGCCTTTGTGTTGCCTAGCGATGCAATACATGCGGTGGGCTCACTAAACTGCTCCAAGGTTCTAGGACTCTAGTGTGCCTTTTGGGGCTGAAGGTATCAGTATCACTGGCTAAGATGTCTTCTTAATGCGTTTGTCTGTAATTTAATAACTTACAGTCAATAAGGAACAAGATATGGGGGAACAATGACTTCTCGTTGGTTAGGTATAGAGAACAGAAACACGCTCCCTGGAGCAGGAGCTGACAGGGAGAAGCTTCTGGAAGGCTACGCCCACATGCAGTATTTTCCCTCCGTGCAGTTGGTGTTTCTTTGTGTGCTGCTGCTGCGGCTGCGGCTGCGGCATCCTGGCCTTTTCCTGGCAATGGCTGAAGAGTCTGGCTGACTTGGCTCACTACTGTCGAATCGCTGCAGGGACGTGGGGGTTACGGCTGGGGTGTCCACTTCTCATGGGGGAGGCAGGCACACACACCACACGCTGAACGATCAACGCAAGGCATCTAGAGGTTAACGGTGCGTTCCATGCTCCCCCTTGGCACCAAAAGGCAGTGGAGCCCGCCCCAGCCCCTCTCTGGAACATTCTGGAGAATCACGTTGGTGCTTCTTCATGGGATTCTTTCATCTTGAGAAAAACACTTTCATCTTGTCGCGGTGTTTAAAGAGGGAAAGAAAAAATGTATTCTTCACTTCTCCGTAGTTAATCCATAGTGTTTGAAGAAAATATTTCACTTATAAAAGCAAAAAGCAAAAAACCCAAAAAATGAAACTGGGGACTAATATTAAATATGACAAATTATGTAGCTTACAAAAATCCTTCCTCCAGGCAGGGAAAAAAAAAATAACCACACATTCAGGCACTTTTGTAGGTATCCTCCATATTGACCAGGACAAGGACAAAAACAAAAATCAATCTGCTATTTACAATATTCTGCTAGGTCCTTAACAGCTTCGTCATACAAAAAATATTTATTATAAAAATAGTCCATAAAATGCTGTACAAACTTTATACATCTCTCCATTTAAAGCTGGACTCCACAGGACCCGCAGGCATTCTCTGTGGTCGGACTTGAAGGAAGACGGACACTTGGAAGAACACTTGTCTCCAATCAGAAGGGCAAGAAACACAGCACCGCCTTCCTCAGGCCATACTAACCTTAACAGTGGAGGAGTGTGACGGTGAGGCGTGGGTATCAAGCTTTCGTCTCTTTTGTTCTGCAAAATGAAGAAAGAACAGGTTAAAAGGTGCCCCTCTTAAAAGGGAACGTACACAAGCGAAACTTGAGCCGAACTGATGTTTACGAATAAGCTGCACATTATCGGAAAGCAGCATTCGCTTGGTTTAACTGCACTGGCTACCCTGGAGCGGAAACTCACCCCGCTCAGTCTCAGCGGACTCCGACCGGGGAACAGGAGACTTCAAGGCCCCAGCTAGAGCAGCCTTCTCTCCCTTGCTGTTCATCTTAGCCACATCCCGCTCCTTGGAGGGCTCCTTGTCAGAGGCTTTGAAGTCGGGGTTACCGCCACCCTTGGTCTTATCCATCTTCTCTTCCTTCTTCAGCTTGTCCTTGTCCGCCTTGGGCGTCTTCTCCTTGCTGTCGCGTGCCTTCTCCTCCTTGGCGGACCTCTCCTCCTTCTGCTTCTCCCTGCCTGTCGCTTTGGCCTCTGGAGTGCTGCCTGGTGTCTTCTCCTTCTTTTCCTTTTTCTCCTTCCCACTTTTTTCTTTGTCTTCCTTCTCCTTCACAGCCTTGGTGCTGAGGGGTTGACACACAGACGCTGTCATACAACCCGCCGAGGTTCCCAGGAGACCCGCTTCCCGAAGCCCTTCCTTTCTACCGCCACGGAAGCATTTCTAAAGAGTGAAGCTCACATGCAACATTCTGTCAAATCCTCAGGTCATTTTTCAGGTAGGAAACTGGCTAGAGGACTTTGGCCTTCACAAATCCCTTAAAAGCATTACATTATGCCCTTTTACACAGAACAATTTATTGTGACTTCTCTGTTGTCTGCATAAAAGCCATGGCACATGAAAAGGGTTACTTCAAAGCCATTTTTGTCAGCAATAGCTCAATTTAATAGAACAGTATCTAGGAACAGTGCCTGAGAACCTCTTCAATTTGATTACACAGTGCACAGGAGAGGCACGTTTCGACAAAAGCTTGATTTGTATCACAGGCGGTTAATATACTAGCTGTGAAAGTTCTCTACCTACAGACCTAAACTTTCAATGACATACAAGGAAAGCGACCAGCTCCTGTACTTTCATCTCATACCTGTTGGGGGCGCCATTGCCATTGCTGGTGGGGAGTTTGCTTGTCGTGCTGTTGGCTTTGTTGGCCGGTTTTAGAGCCCCCTGAGCTTTGTCCTTGGGTTTGTCTAAAAACACATTGGCAGTACATAAATGTTTAAATAAGGGAGCATTACTGACCGTTCAGTATTCTTAAAAGCTAGGCTTGGGGCTCGGTGATAGTTGTAAAACAATCATAATGTGGAGACTTTATAATGACAGAAAAGCATTGGGTACGTGGCTGGGCTGGGACAAAGACAAACATGACAGGTTTTTATAGACTTACGAGAAATCACATCTTTCAAACTGCACAAAATCTCATAAAAAGTCAATGAAATCGAGATGGAGTTGTCCATGTGTATTATTAAAATCTACCTGATGAGATGTTCAGTGACAATTTACTCTGAACACATGCGTAAGGACAGGAGTTATGCAGAATATACTATCTGCCGATAGTACACTTCATATCAGTCCTGGGAACCATATTTACGGTCTAATAAATCACTAGCCTCCACAACACTGAAACTGCCCCATGATCAATCTGACATCAGCATTTCTGTTGAAATTAGATTAAGAATTTTAGCAGAGCTCAGTGATCTAATGTCTGCTGTGGTGACTCACCAGCATCCTCTGCGGTGCCCTCCTCTGGTTTGCCAGCGCTAGCGGTACTGGCGGTGGGCTTCCCGGCATTGCCTGGGCCATTCTGTAGGTTGGCCGGGGTGGCACTGCGCACCGGCTGCTCCTTGTGGTGGAATTCGTTCTCGGGGACCATGTGCGCTTTCCTGCCTTTCAACTGGCCAGAATAGCTGCAAGCCGCACGCATGGTTACAAGAGGCACAGACAAGCCAATCACAAAGCAGCATAGCACACCAGCTACCAATGAACATCACAAGGGAGGCTGAAGGAGATGATGCACCTCACGGCCAAATTCACTCAATGTGCAAGTGCAAAAGGAAAAGAAAAAACGGAGGCAAATACAGAAGGTATTAAGACTGTTTTTGGCAAAATACATGTTATATGTACAATGGAAAGCAAGTAAACACACTGAGGCTTGGTGCAAACAAGGAAAGATTAAGTCAGGGGTGGCCAATCTTATCCGCAAAGGGCCGGTGTGTATGCGGGTTTTCGCTGCAACTCCTTAATTAGATTACTAATTAGAGGACTGATTGGCTGAAGAGTCCTCACACCTGGGTTTGAACAGCTGACCTACAGGTTATCCCAAAAACCTGCATACACACCGGCCCTTTGCGGATAAGATTGGCCACCCCTGGATTAAGTAATTTAGTGCAGAGTCTCCGTTAATTTCTAGAAAAGTCTAGAAAAGTATGTGCTCTGTTATGTCCTAGGTCACCAAAACATTCACACACTAAAAATGAAGCCCACCCAAACCCCAAGATCAGACACAAAATACTGATACTTCACATTTTAACAGCAAATTACTGAACAGCGACATGGGAGACCATGATTATAAGTCACGCTCAGAACTGCCAAACACTGGAAAGACACACATAAGAACCAGGGACCAGTCAAAATGCTAATTGAAGACCAAATACCCACAGGGTTTGATACGTGGGACCACGTTACAGAATTTCCAAATCTCTAAGCTCTGCTGTAGGAAATTAAAAACTAAGGATTAGTTGGCATCTGGGAAGATTTGGCATGAAGAATCACTATCTTGGAACCACCGAAGGTCTAAAATACATTGTGCAATTCCTGTCAGCATTAGGATACACTGGACACTGAAAATATTTCTTATAAAGCTCAGATTATACCTACCAGGACTTCCTAATGTGATTCTTTTAAAAAGCTTTTATCCAAAAGAAGAAATAAAGAGAAATAAAGCTTTGATGTGTGATGCAGGCACCAAGTAACACAAAGGGCAACAGGCACTTTCACTGAGGCACTGGGGGGTTACTAAACAACTCACGCACTACCCAAACCTTAAATTATTACTCCACTAAAAAGAAATGAGGCAACAAAAGGGCTTTAAAGCTCATTTTTCTCATTTCGACTCTTGTCAGGAACTCCAGGTTTATGAAAAGAAAGGTCTGGAGATTTTTATATACAGAAAGGATTCTCAGATTTACATAACGGGAAAAAAACCATCATTGTGATGTTCCGGCAATAAAAAGAAAAAACCATGAGGAGAGCAGAGCATCGAATCATTACCGTCTGGCCAGCTCAACACTTTCAAATAGGCAAATATTCCTGCGTGAAATCCACTAAAAATGGCGCGAAAAATCGGCTTGCTGGCCGCACCAATCACCATCGTGATTGAGTCTGTGGTGTGCCGTTCCTTTATGGAACCCCTGAAAATCCCATTACTGTGGGGCGGGGGAGCACTCGAGGACGACGCTTGTTTACGTGCTGTCGTCCCCAGCACGACGGAGCAGAAAAGCTCATTACAATGGATAACTGATAGGATCACTTAATCACAGGCAGACAAAGGCCGACGGGATCCCGACAAGTCCCTCCTATTGAATTAATGGTTTTCATTAGGCAGCAATGAGGAGGCTGTGCGGCAGCCGTGACCTTATCTGGCCACTCCATCTCTGCCAGGGGGAGGCTGTGGCCGTCGCTCGAGCGGAGGATGCTGCGATCACGCCAGAGCACCCGTCTGGCAGGCTGGGGCAGACCCAACGCGAGCGACCCAACATCAGGCAGGGGAGAAGCCCGAGACTCCGCCCCCACAGCCCACATGGGCATCTTTAATGGGGGTGACAGTCCCTCAGGGGCTGGAAACTTTATTGAGATACTCTGCCTTCTCTCTAAAGACAAACCTGCAAAGGCAGCACATGCAGAGCCAGCCCCCCCACCAGGGGAATCTCATGCAGCTGCTACTTTATGAGAAGTGGCCTTCAAGTTGTAAATCATGTAAACTTGATCTCAGTGTCTGGTTTGCCGCCGTTCCCCCCCCAGATAGGACAAAAGAAAGCGCGAGAGGTTTTTTCACGCAAAACTCAGTGGCTCTCCGTTACCCCATGGCCAACGCATAGAGGTCAGGCCTCTTCTCCTTCTCCTCCTGGCAGATCTTATGGACTCGGCACTCGAGCGCCTGGCCCAGGTTCAGCACTTTGGGGTAGCAGGGCAGGATCTTGGTGAGCACGATGAGGATGTTGCGGATGTGGGTGTACTCGCCCGTCTCCAGGCAGTGCACGGACGCCTGCGGGGAGAGACCGGCCAAATGTTACGTCACGTGCTTTCCAACTACGTGCAGCAGAAGCAGCTCTCTTCACCTGCTGGAGACCATGCCGATGTACCTCACTGAAAACAGGCCTTGTCCTGGTGCCAATCCAACATTGCTTACTTACCTTTTATTTACTACGTTTTAAACTATGCGAGTCTTTAGCACATAAACTGTTCTGTTTTATTTATCGGAATACCATTCCAGCAGCACAGACTCACTTTCGTTAATTTGTAATGCCATTTGTGAACGACGTGTCTGAAGTTCTCGTAGTCCAGCTGGTCAGCCTTGTTCCCACCGTCGAAGCCGGTGGCTCGGAAAATGGTGAGGAACCCTGGGTAATTGCCGCACTCCTGACGTAGAAAACACACGACGAAAGCCAAGTTTAAACATCGACAAGCTTCCATAAAACACATTATGGTCACATTTGTTGATTCGCATGAGACTCATGGCAGATTTCAGGAAAATCGTGCCTCTCGGTGGAAAATGATAATTGCAGGAAGCTACTAGTCATTGGCTGTCTTTGCAAATATGAGTGCAGCACACATGGGGACACCAAGCTTCCAGGGAAGGGTTTGTACACCACCTGAAAGGGGACACTACCTTTTCGTAGATGGCGCGGTCGCTGTGCCATCGGGTCACCGTCTCCAGCATGCAGCACAGGAAGCGGCCGTAGCGACGTGCCTCGTTCTCCGTGCAGCTGGCCACCGTGTAGATGATGTCGGAGAACACCTGGAAGGACCAGAGGTGTAAGCACAGCGGGCTGCACCGCCCACCGCTCTTATGGGAAAGAGCGAGAGTAGCGAGAGACTCGGGTAGAATTAAAATCAAGAAAGCTGCTAGAAAGGAGGCTTGGGAGAAGAAAGTAGAATTACACCCTGGAAGCCGAGGGGAGATGCTCAGACAGGGGCAAAGGCTGGCGTGGGGAGGGGGGACGGGACTCACTCGATCATAGCAGAGCAGAGTGCAGAAGTTAGGGGTCTTCTGCTGGTGCACCAGCTCCACAAAGCGAGCGCAGTAGACCGCGTCCATGGCTGAGAATATGCAGCGAGGGAAGACACACAGCTGTAGGAACTTGGTGATTGTCTCGTTCTTGGTAGACTCTGTCGGCGAGAAAGAAAAATAAATACCAGAGAAGAAACAAGAAGGGTCCACACTGTCTCATCTGCTGCTATAGTAAGGCAGAGCTTTCTAATGAAGAGGGCAGAACAGAAGCATCCTCTACTCTCTCAGTGCCTCCAAGTGTCTGTAGTAACTATTTGGGGTCGAAGGCTTCTTTGCACAGCCGCTGAAAGTCCCAGAGTTCCCTACAGCACTGGTGGACAGGGGGGCAGAACGTGCAGACTTACTGGCCAGCAGCCAGTTGTCTTTCTCCAGCTTGAGGCGATGAAGGACCCTCTGCACATGTTCCAGCTGCTTCTTCTCTTCCTCCAGAAGCTTGTCCTGCAGCGCCGTGCAGCGCTCCTTCTCCTTCTTCTTCTTGTTCATGGGCTGCAAGAGTTATAATGTGTCACTATTGTGAGATGCAGGTCTGAGTATAAATTGCCTGCAAATGGCACAAAGCAATGACTGCTTAAGTCTGCCATCGTGGCAAATTGGCCATCTTGGATTCAGAGTGATAAAAAAAAACTGGAATTTTTAACTGGAATTTTAAACTTAAGGCCAAGGCATCAATCTTTTGATCAAGATTGATTATTTCTCTGGTAACTTCAGAGAAACTTCAGAGGGACGGGGCGAGCATACCATTTCAGGGTTCTCGTCAATGGCTTTCATCTGCACCTTGAGCTTGTTGACCTCCCGGTCGTAGGCGTTATGGGGCACGGCTAGGTCATACATGGTGAGCGACCAGAAGGTGGCGTAGAACTGGGGCCTCAGATCGTCCCACACCTTGGGCAGGTGCAGCGATACCACAGCCTCGTGCACCGGCGCCATCACCTGCTCGCAGGCAGTGATGTACTTGTGCACTTTCTGCTGCTGCCGATTGCCTTTTTCTGCCTTCTTCAGCTCGTCGTACTTGGACTTCAAACCACATGGAAGAAAAAAAAGCACAGAAACCAAGGCCCCTTTTAGGTATTACTGGTATAGATCACACATTGTCCTTGCATTTGGTTTATAAGTAGACAAGAGGTTGGCCAGCTGCATTTATGAAAGCACGGCCGTAAAAGCAAGCCTGAAAGCACTTTATGATGCGGGGGGGGGCGGGGGGGGAAACATTTGCAGCATTTTATGAGAAAGGCTGTCACAACACAGAGTGAACACACAACACTTTGTACCAGGAAAGTCAAGATTTTCAGAGCGCAAAGTGGGTTTGGGCAGGTGGGTTGTTTTGCTTCCGAGCACAGAAGACGGACTGAGATGCTGACCCTGAAGTGGAAGGAGGTCGCTGGGAGAGAATGGACACCATGTTGGAGAGCGGAAGACGACGGGCCTCCTTACCAGTATCTGGTGGGCGTACATGGGCCTGGACAGGAAGAAAGCGGCGTCATGGGGCGTGTGGAACTGGTTACACAGGACATCCACGGGCGGCACGCGCTTGATGTAATCCTCTGTGCTCAGGTTGGAGGCCAGGAAGCCACCAAACTGGACCAACGTGTCATGGCACTGAAACATTTGGGGCAGGGCAGGGCAGGGCAAGGCAGGGGAGGGTGGAAACCATATTATTAACAAGTTCAGCAAAAGTGTACTTAATGCTGGCTATACAGGTCCTTAATAAATACCTGCCTAATTCTTCATTTATTCGTAGACTCGGCATCAATTTATTAAACTCATCCATCACTACCCTCCTGACTCAACATAATGCAAAAATAAAGCACCCTGACTTCAGCTCCGGAGAGAGCCACACTCCCTGCCTCGGCAATGCATCGCAAGGACAAGTCGAAGAAACATGACCGTAAGAGGAACACCCAGAGGAAATAAGTGGGCTTTCCTAAATTAAGGGCTAAAACTAAAACCAAGTGACATCAAAAGTTCTCACCTATGAATCGGCTTTGTAAGCAAACTCTACAGGCCGGGGTCAAAATGAATGCTGTCCATATCCAATGAAAATGACCGTTTACACAGACTGCTTCACACAAGCGCCAACAGCTTTGTCAAAATAAGGAAGTTTCCTACCGGACTGACTTAACTAGCGAGTGACGATGGATTTGTCTTGCCAGATTTTTTTCCAAAACCAGGAAAAACGGTTGCCAGAGAAAACATCTTGACAGTGAAAAGGCATAAAGTTTTGGGTGACCAGAAACAGCTCAGAAAGAATGCCTAACCTGACCCTTGCTTAACACGTCTAGTTAGAACATCTATCACTACAAGGATCACGTTTTTTTCCAGGGACAAAATCAATCCTGATTAGGCTTTCACAACATATATGACACCCTTATGCCAATTTGCCATTCCTACCAGGCTCTTTGAAATAAGGCCACAAAAATCACTTACAATGCATAACAGGCCTTTTGTGGTCTTAAACAATGAATGACATGGCCAACAGCTTTCATTCTTTTAAGATCCTAAGATCCAATATCTGAATATAACAATAAGGTAACATTCAAACCACCAAGGTGCCGAAATCCAGGGAATTTAAAGAGCAGAAGCACAGAAGGTCACAATGGACACAAAAGACACTCAGATTTTAGTGAAATATGATCTGTTAAGCTGGTCTGAAAACACATCATAGTTTCTCTATAGAAAACTGACTTTAGGTAAACAGAATTAGCTTAAACCTTTGCACTGTTTTAAGCGTTTCACAGCAGCCTTCCTCAATTAGAGGAGGTCTTGGGACACGAAATATAAATGAATGTATGAAGTCGGGGGATAAGTAGCAGCCTGCTTTCCTAAGTAACCCTCTCACATCAACTGCCTCAATAAAGGGAAGCAAAACAACAAAATTACACACTTTAGATGGGAACCCTGCCACTCACTGCCTGGGAGCAACCCAAAAAGGGACAGGAAATATTGTGCTGATGATGCTGGACACAATGCAGATGCATCACTTAATTTGTCTCGCTCTCCCTCAGCAGAGCCCACTCATCCATCTGCTGCTGTTCGGCCGCCCGAAAGAGCGCTTAATTACTCCGCTAAGGGGTGGTGAAGAAGCGCGTTTCAGCTCTGAAGCGCAGAGGCTGTCTGAATCATAAGAGACAGGCAGGTACTGTCCTGGAGGCTGGCCGAGTGGGTGTTGATTAATCTCGTGGTTCCTAATGGAATTAATTACTCCTAACAAGTTATGTCCTCTATTTTCATGTGGAGATACTTGAAAAACGCTGCACGCACACAACTTATTAGTTTTGGTCAAAGCTTAAAAGAAGGCGCTTGTTTATTTTACGATACGAGAGAGAATCCGGTTTGCTTCCATGTTGCTGATGGTAGTGCATGAACGCAGTGTATAAACGACAGCCCTAGCCATGCTTTCATTGTGATTTTGTTTAGTACACTGTCAATATTGGCACATCAGAAAATGCAACCAATCATGTGACCTCCTTTACAGAAATGGTTATGCACTGAAATTTGACAAACAATTACATCCATTCCCATAGATTGTGCATGAATTTTTAATGAACACCTTACTACCTTATTTTAAAATGACTCTGGGGCCATAATCCCCATTTGTACAAACACAATGTGCAGTGAGAGCCATTCAGCATTACAAATGCAATTTGTATGCAATAACCTTCATGAAAGATTAATACCATACATTTGTTTTGTGTATCGGTGTTGAACACTTTCCAGCATCTGAACTGCTTTTTAGCTTCCTAAACAGGTCCAGGGTGTTCAAACATTGGATAAAAGATGACAGTGTCTGCATTCAGCAGATCCTGTCCCAGAGAAGAGGGCGAAATGAATGGTATATTTGTCTCTGAGAGCTGCTCCAATCAGCAATCTGGAGTCTCAAATCTGAACTGATTTCCGCTTCTCCACAAAAGGAGACCAAAGGGATTTTATCAAAGCAGAAAACTGAAAAGAACAGCTGCACAGGTCAATGTCGGAAAGCTGAGGACAGTCCCAATTTGTGCTTTTGAGCGATGATCCTGCAATACCTCATACCTGCACCCAGAAATAAAGTTCCAAACTATAAATGCATACAGTACAAAACACAACCAATCTTGAGACACTCTGCAAAGAAGTGACACTATGAAACCTTTTCTTAAGCAGAAAACCTGTTTTTCATTTCTATTTAAAAAGAAAAATCTCCACTAATTACCACATAAGCCCCTGCCATAAAAGTATGTAGCACCATTACTTGTCTGGGTCAATCAGTGTGGTGTCTATTTAATACAACAAAATTTCCAGGGAATTTTAATATTTTGCAGCGTAAAGCTGTCATGTCTGATCATCATCATTTTCTACTCTCGTTTGGGAAAAACTGAGGAACAGGACAACGTCTTGATTGGACGGTCACCTGATTAAATCTCATGGCTGGGGGGGGACCATATCGCCACCGTCCCTTTGAGAAAGGCCCTTAAGCCCAGAAACTGCTTTATGGGCTCTGATCCCAACCCTCCCTTCACACTTCCAGATGTGTGTCTCATAAGATATGAAAAGCTGGATAACTTTCCTTCTGCCTGCATTGGCTTGGAAGCCCATCATAGTCCAGGCCTCCAACAGTGAATAATTAGGTCATTAAACAGCTACATATTTGTCAATATCAAATGTTTCAGTCATTTTAAAAGCAAGAAAAAGTATGAGTATTCAAACTACACAGGGCTCCAGACTTTTCCAGTGGATGCACTGGTGCTGCACCACCTTTCTCAGGTGGTCACACCAGCACGATTTGGTCGCAGCCCTTTGTTCGGTGCATCGTGGTATTATTGATGGATGTAATATTTATTTTGTGCTGGCTCAGTTGCTCTCTCCCTCTCTGCATCTGCACTCTCATCATCACTTGTATCACGGTGTTGCGCTAGCATTGTGATCCTTCCCTGTCAATACCCCCCCCCCCCCATGTCTTTGCTAGGCACGCACACAAAAATCATTTTTAAATCTACCTTCTTTGCACCTGCCTCAATAAATCTAAGGACCAGTCCTTGTGTGTAAGAAAAAAAAAAGTGAGTGAACTCTCCTGTTTGACTTCATTCCTAATAGTTACATTATTAGCCCTTTTCGGCCATGCATATTTAACTGTGCATCCACTTATGCACTCAAAATAAGCTTAAGTACTGAAGTATGCGATTTGAGACTTGCGATTTGAAGGCAGGTTATATGAAGGAAAGGTAAGGAAAGTCTGGGTGAGCGGGGGAGGGAGTGGACTGTGAATGGGCTCAAACGTGCAAAAAATAGAAGCGTTTAATGAACTTATAAAGTCATTTTAAAAATGCAAAAGACTATAAAAAAAAATTTACAGAACCTTTACATGATGACATTGCACCTCCGATGTCACTATTCATCCTAACGTATCACTATAGACACAGTCACATGCCATTTAGGTACATTGCCCAACCCTACTCTATACCTCAATTTGGCTCTCACTCCATACCACCCTCCTCTTTTGTCTCAATTTGTCTTATAAAATAATCAGCTATAGACCGCTTCATTTTTGGAACACACTAACATCATAGCTAAAGGGATTGTTTCACTCATTTCATAATGCAGTACCCATGCCGGAGCTAAACATCCTAATGATCATCGTACACTCACACGGATATAACCACGTGAAATTTTAAATCTGGATACATGGTGGCATATGCGACAGTTTGGTCACAGTCTGGAGCCTTGCAAAATATATGCACCCAAGACCCAAGTTGGAAACAGTGACTGCTCCAGTGCCGTATCGGCCGCTCTGAAGCTACTGCTACACTTGGCTTCCTTCTGTGAAATTGCGTTCTGTAGGTCGACACTTCTCAAAAACAGAAGTGGAGTTGAGTAATATGAAATAAAACTTCAGTCCTTGAATTACGAATAATGCAAACACAAACATAACGCTGTAAGGACACCTTTCATCAGCAGTGCCCGGGAAGGTGAAAATAAGCGCCATTATTTTTAATAATGGGGAAAGATGTCCATAAAGAGAGCAGATGGCAGGCTGAAACCTCCAAAGGTGTTACAGCGCTCTCAATGTGGGCTTCTGCTGGGCCAGGTCGTGTGTTCCTACTGGCCAGCTCTCATCACACATTTCACAAAAAAACACACAACAACCGGTTTTGAAGTGCAGTACTTGGGCTTGGCAGCGATGGCACGGAGCCCCTGGGGAGCAGCAGAACCTGACTGCAGACGCTGGACACCTGCCGGCCATTCTGGAAAAGCAGAAGTCCACTTTACCCGAAAGTGCTTCTGGGTTAAATGCTCGAATTAAGAGCTGCGAGACACTGTCAATGGACTAAACCAGCTTTAAAAGGTGCTAGAGCAGGCCTGCCTGTAAGCCACACAGTCAGATCTCCCACGTTGACATAATGAAGCGTTATCTTGAGGATTTCCAGGCACGGGTAGTAAATAGGATGGGGGGGCAGCAATATCTCATGTTAAGTAAAACCCTGAATCAACAAGAAAATTTGGGGGTGGCCCTTCACTAGTGCATCTTAAGTAATTATCTGGACAATTCAGAGCAGCAATGGGACTGATTTTTATCAGAAAAGCACAATTTGGAATCATTCAGTGAGAGGCAGTAAGAAACCCCCCCCCCACCACCCCTCCTTGATACACACAGAGCTCCTGTTAACAAATGCTTGGTGCCCTGCTGATTGTTACTTCCAGCGAACGAGCTTGTCATTTCAATATGAAAGGATGTGGAGACAAGGGGCTATCACACACACCCGGCACCGAACTGACGCCTCGCGGCTGGACTCCCTTCACCGAAAAAGGAAGGGACGCTGTGGCGTGCAACGTCAACGATTCCCTCCGGCGGACCGAACGCCAGCGGCTCAGATCACAGAGTTCAGCCAGAACAAGTGCCGCAGATACTTACAAGTACAAAATAACCTTGTCGGCACCCGGAAACTACCATCGCCAAGGAAGCAGTAAGTACCACTCACCTACTCAGCTGCTGCCTTTACCCACAATGACTTACGTGTTACAACAAGGGAGTTACGGTGTGAAACGGAACTTAACACTGGTGCGATTTCAGCAACTTCAAGCAGTCGGCACGAAATGACTCAGCTGGCAAATAAATTTATTACAGGACCTTAGAGAAACTGATTTCCCAGAGCAGGCAGAGAAAATAAATATTGCAGTCAGCAAGTGCTCCCCCGTCCCCTTCCCAGGAGCCTCGGGGCGGAGAGACGACGTGGGCATGTACCTGGTCATAGAGCTTCCCCACCAGCTTGAGGTGCTTCTCGCCCCCTTCTGAGAAGATGACTCCGTTCCTCTGCTGAGCCATCAGCAGGCAAAGCGGCAGCGCCAGTTCATGGTCCAGCAGCGCCTCCTTCAGTCTCTGGGAGGACTTCTTGGTGTTTCTGATCTGGCCAAAGTAGCCACCCTGCCAACGAAAGATCAAGCGACACACTCAGTTGCGACTCTGATCGTGCCCTGCCGGGACACCCCTGTGGAGAGCTACGTAAAAATCCAAGTATTAATGAGTTCTCACTTGCTGGAAGACACAGCTCCATATACGCATTTCAGAACCACAAAACACTGCACGGCTGGGGGCTGGGAGGAGTGTTTTACTTCTATTTGCAGTGAATTTACAAAACAAGTCTGAAACCAGAGGTGCACAGGTTTAAATCAGACATAATGGATGAAACACGGCATCAATACAGAGAACGGCAGGAAACATCAAAAGGACTTTGAAAGATCGAGTATGGGGGAGACACGGATCAAAAGATGTAGAACAACAAAAAAACAAAATGACTACTGAAGGGCTCGTAATATTACAGGACTGCCGCGGAATGTGGCGTTTTGGGACAAAGAGCCGTGCATCGCTGCAAATATACAGATGGATGAAAAAAAAAAACATACAGAGCCAAAGAGATTGATAGCTGCGCTCCTGGACAGCGAGTTGCACCACCGACACACAGGGGGCGCTGCGTCCCAGCATGCCTACACCCCACTCCAGAGGAGGTAGCGAGCAAAGTAAACACTGCCTGCTGTGCTTCCCTAACCAGGTAGATTGTACAGGGACTACGCTTCTCACTTACTGGGCATCAATGGAGAAGCATCCAAGTATATTACAGGACTGGGTGAGAGAAAATGTTCATGCCAAGAACCTGCGCTGAAAGTCTGCCAGGGAGGAGAGCGTTGCGGCCCTGTGGACCTCAAGTGATCCACCTGAAAATATCTCCCGATATCCTATATGAAATCAGCTCAGCTCCATACAGAATAAACCCATTTTTGTAACTCAATTTTAATACATGATATCCAACTGCTGACATTCTTCAACGTCAGTCACGTACGTAACAGCTCATGGATGATCATAAGTGTTTTATTTTTAATTTTTTTATCTGCAACGTGGAAAATTATGACATCAGAAAAATGACCAGTTTTCTTTTCGGCACACCCAAGAGCCAGGCGATGTGGAGGGTGGGGGGAGAGAGAGCCCCTACCTCCGCTTTCAGCTGCTCCCCCCCAGTCATCGCCTCCAGCTGCTCCACAGTCATCTCATCGGTGATCTCAATCCCTGCCATCTTCTGGACCACCTCCTTCAGGATCAACAGATCAAAACTGGTGGTGGTGGTGGTGGGGGGGGGGTGAGAGAGAGACACACAGGTATCATCAGGGAAAGAGACAGATCTTCAGGATGCACAGCAAAGGAGGAGCAGGGAGAAGCACTGCTCAACTCTGAATAATTCATGCTGCAACTGTAAGGAGCCGCGATGACAACAGCTTCACAGCTTGTTTGTTTGGGGGGGGGGGCTGATAAACAGGGAGTTTGATAAGCAGGCTGGGTTAGGAAATGTCCATGCCCTTTGCTTCCTCCCCATCAGGTGACTGACAGTCTAGGCACTGCCACCCCCAGCAGCCCCCCTGCAGCACATACCTCTTGCCCGCCTTCAGCTGATTGGTGATGTACTGCAGGAGGCCGGCCAGTTCGATGGGGTACTTCCTGAAAACGGCTCCACAGAGGCTGGCGAGACCTGGAGACAACAAACAGACACGTAACTGCACTGGGGTCCGACTGGAAACGACGCCAACAGCACCGCTCGTCCCGGTGACAAACCCGGCTTGCGTGAGGGACGCATCGCCGTGTCCCGGCTGCCAGCGTTGGCACTGGAAAAACCCAGCCAGGTGGCGATATTTTAATTTTTTTTTGCAGAACTCTAGGGGCCGCAATCAGGGCAGCTGGGAGAACACCCACGTCAGACCAGAACCGTGGACACAATCACCAGTGCAGAAAACAATCCGCGGCCACGTGCCGAAATTCCATTATTCTGGCAGCACGGATAATTTATCGCCTGCGCGACTCCGAATCGGCTCGGCGTCACGGGTTAGTTAGCTGTGGGAGAAGAGCTGCACCCACGCTTCCTGTCGGTGGATACGTGACGACCAAATGGCTGGCAGTAGTGGGATTGGCGGGGTGGGGGGCAGTCGGCAGTGTAGCTGTGTAACCGGGGCGCACCAAATGGGCGGTGGCTGGGGGTCTCTGGACTGGCAACATAGCTGCTAATGAGAATCACGGTACCGTATCTGGCTTCAGCATACGACAGGACAATGACTCACTCTGCAGCCAGGACGAGATGGTGGTGTCATCGTGCTTCATCTTCTCCTTCTCGGGGTTGGCCAGCGCCTCGATGATGCAGTCTGGGGACTGGGGTTAAGGGGCACAATGCTGCAGGTCACGGCCCACCTCTCCAGCTGCCCCTAAGCAGGTACAGCCCGTCCGTGACCACAGACACAAACGGCCCGGCAAGCAGAAATGCACAGACAGCAAACACCAGAAAACTTTTTTTTGGAGCAGACTATTCAAAAGCAAGAGCTTAGCTGTGCTGATTTCTGTTTAGCCTATCCTTAATGGAACCATTAAACTCTTAAAAATTTTTAAGGCAAGCAATGCTACCGTTCCTGAAAGGTCTGCCATTACCGGCTGGCATGTCCGAGGAGATAGAAACGCCGGCGTTTCTGAGAGCTGCCTTGCCCACCCACGCGTGCTCATTTAGTGCTGGCTCCTCGTGGTGATGTGACTGTCAGGACAAGGCGGCGAATATCCCCCGCTGTCACACAATTCCCTCCCAGGCAACAAGAACAGGCAAGCTGCACCCCCCCCCCCCAACCCCCCCCCCCCCCCAACCCCCACACACACAGAAAGGATGCACGCCAGCACATCGTAGTTGAGCGAAGTGAGGTATTTCAGCGAGTCCACCACCGGGGTGATGAGGTTGTCGTACCACTGAATTTGTGACAGAATCTGGAAAGGGAAAAAAAAACAAAACAAACAAAAAAATGCATAACGTCAGCCATGTAGGAATTCGGCTCCTGCCTTTCCAAAGCAAGGTCTGGTTTTGGGCACAAATCTATGTGTTGTAGATGTGTTATAAGCTGCCAGTGCTGGACCTCAGGAGGTTCAAGGACTAATGAAGCAGAGCCTGTCCGGACTACAGCTGGGTCAACAATCATGATGGCGGTATGGCATCATGCAGAAAGCAGGCCTGGGTCCCGGGTGATGTCGCCAAGGCCACCTCGAAAGGATTCTCTCTGCTCTACCACTCAACTTGTCTCCCCTGACAACCGAGCTTCTGTCAGGCAACATGGAGACACACTGTGCGAGAGAGTACGAGGAGGAGGAGGGCAAGGAAAAAAATTTTAAAATCCACCCTCGCACAAGTTCTCCGCTTTGCCGAGAAGCAGCCCTGGAACGGGAGACGTCGCCATGTTCTGCAGTCTGCTCGTGTCTCTGACGCGACAACAAAGTCCACCCCCCACCCCCCACAATAGACTTTTATTCTCCCCATCCTTTGTGAGAGACAGATTCGTCTGAGAGATAATGCCTTTGAAGCAGTGCCACTGAAGTCAGTCAGTCAAAGTGCCGGTTCCGTTTTTGCAGGATTCTGGGCACCGAGTTAACCGGGCCGATGGGTGGTGGCTGTGGCTCACATGCAAACCGGGTCACGTTCATTTCCAGAGATTAGATTATTAACATTCCAGAGCAGATCAAAACTGGATTACGGAGCCGATACTCAGGCCCAGTCGCTACCGAGGAGCCTGTCTGTCAAACAGCTAGGTCACACAGGCCAGGCAGCTGGGGACCGGCGCTAACCCTGCCTACCGCGCGCAAGGCCCCCGCAGGCACCTACGTAGTCAAACAGGATGGTGGGGTTGCTGTGGCTCAGCTTGCCGATCTGCCGTCCGGAGGGCTTCACGTTCTCCTTGGTCAGCCGCCTGCAAGGGAGGAGACATTGACGGGGGGCGATTAGGCAGACTGCTTCCCCAGTGACACCACAGATGCTAACGGGGCTAACATGAAGCCAGCCAAGTGCAAACTTCAACACAGACACTGAAAAGTTCCTACGGAATCATGAACGGGGGCGACACATGAGCAAAGACGTGACAGAGTTGTGTGATTCATGACAAAGGGCTCCGGAAGCGTAGTGGGGAACCTTTAAGGAACGCTGAGGAGTACGGCAGCGTACAGGAAACAGACAGACAGAGTGCCGATAATGGGCAGCAGCAAACTCTACAAAGGGGGGCTTTTCAGGGAGCGAGACAAAGTGAAGCGCGTCAGGAATCCCGGATAATCACTGGATCAGCACGCTGTGGTGTGGGCGACGGTCCTGCACAGGGCTGCCTGCGTCTCCTGGCCCCACCCCCTCAACAATGCGGGTCCCCATGCTGTTTAACATGCTGCGTGAGGCCGACTGCGGCTGCAGCCTCCCGCACTGCCCCACAACAGGAGGTATTAGCGCTCTGCTTAACGCTCTAATAAAGGCTCATGATTCATCGGCGGGTAATGAAGTCAAGGCGGGTGGGGGGTGGGGGGGCACGTTTACATTCGCCACGGCTGCTTATGGGAACTATCTGCACACGGGCTTGTATAAACACAGCCTTTACGGATGCCCGCTGTGCCCTTGAGGCAATGACATCATAGAGCAGGCGGCGTCCCGGACAAGCGCCGGTCCAAGATGGCTGTTTAAAACCTCGCCACTGGTCTGGAGGAACGGTTATTCATGGCTGCCGTTAAGAGGGCTTAGCGTGCTGAATGAACTTGGCTACCAGGCTCTTGGATTAGGACGTCACGTAATACATTACGGGGGTAATAAAACAGAAGATTTGCCGAAGATTCCCCGCCACAGCAGTAGGCCAGCTGGGACCGGGGAGGTGGGGGAGGGGGGGGATCCCCAGTAATAGCAGTGAATCACCCCCATCGCCCTTATAAGTCAACAGTAACTGCAGACAGAAACTCATGTGTCAGTAAAATGTCCGAATACAGGAAGCGGGCAGACAAATGATGTCTCCCAAACGGCTTCTTAAACAGACTCAGGTAGTGATTAACAGCGCGACGTTAACATAAACTGTAAAAACGCTATGTGCGAGGAGGGGCGCACACTGCTGGCCAATCCCCCCTTTCTGCTCCACTGCGCCCACAATTCCACTGCGGCAGCACTGCAGTCCCCAGCTCTCCATCACTGCCGCGCCCCACGCTTGCGCACAGCTAAGTGTCCCCTGCCCCCCCACCGATTTCCACCCCCCGGCACGTTCGCCACACACACACACACGCACACACACACACACACACACACCTCCCCTCAGGGTCATCGCTCTTGTCCAAACACCTGCCTGGATACCCCTGGAAGCCCCGTAACGGGAGGAGCAGTGCTTACGAAGCGCGGCACGTTTCCACTAGGGTCACGTTATCGATGGCACTGGGGAGAAGCCGGCAACTTGGATTAACTCTGAGGAGGAGGAGATGGAGGAAGGGGGGAGGCAACAAAAACATGCAGCTAATAGGAGGCCTGATGCTTTGCTGCCTCCCGAAGGCCAGAGAGTCCCCACTTAAAGGGGGCCGGCGGCCTGCAGCCATCTGCAGCCAAAGGGCCCTCTGCTGGGGCAGCTGCTATTGGGGCCGTGGCACTTCGAGCACTGCGACAAACCAGCCGCGCGGCACATGCAGCAAACCCAACGGCCTGCCGACATGCAGCAGGAGGTGGGCAGGCCGACCTCGGCATGGGAGAGACCCCGGTGTGAGCGGACGTACATAAGAAGGACCCAGAGAACCTGTTAACAGAGCTTCCTGCAGGCTAGGCGAGGACATGGCTGTTTCCCTGCAAATGAAGGGCCAACCTTGCAGAACAGGCGGCCAAAGAGCTCCATGCGCAGCAACAGCAGCAGCTGGGGTCCGCGTTCGTGGCGACACCAGACAAGGTGACCGCGCTGCATAGAACAGAGGGTGCGGCCTGTGCGCAGCTCAGGCAGCTGGAGTGACGCTGGAGCAGAGTGGCCGATGGGCGACAGCGAGCCCCCCCCCCACATCCCGGCGGGATGCAGCCAGCCCATTGCTCTTAATGAACAAACGTCTTCTGGCAGCCTCTCGCCACCACACCTTCAGCCTCCCACATCTCTCACTCAGCTCTGTCAAAACACCATATTTTATTGACGTGAGCTCAGAGGAGCACGTCTCCATGCTGCAGAGCCTTCCGCAATCCGCCAGATCATCAGAAAGGGCCTGATCCTGCATTCACAGCACACAGACGCTTAAGAGAGCAGATAGGACGGCCGTTGCAGGAAAAGGATATTAAACGGCATCCGGGGACAATCACCGCCGCACAGAGCCGTACAGCAGGCTGCGCGTATAACCGGTTTCAGGAAACACCCCGGCGTGAACAGAGCGTCTGCTTTGGTGACCACTCCGGCCAAAGGTCCTTCACCCATTAAGACAGAAGCTCTGTTTTGGTCATACGGCAAACACCGAATCCCAGCTCCTCACCCGAGACCTTGAGCTTATTCTGGGCTTCTGGCCGGGAAACCGCTCACGCCTGCTGCTGTCAGAGCTCCGGGTGCGGCTCAGAAAGACAAGAGCCAAACGCACTTACTTCATGATGTACTTGGCTCTGTCCACAGTCTGGGCTTTCACTTTGACCAGCAGCGGGTGGCTGCTGTAGGTCTCGTTCTTCCACTGCCCGTACAGTCGATACCTGGGGAAAGAGCAGCAAAATGAGTTCGGCTCAACCTACACCTAGGTAAAAAACCATTCCCCAAAAGTCCACACCACGATCCTCTCCGGCAGCTCCGTCACTCCGTCGAGAACAGGCCGAATCAACCATCAGTCACGCGTGTAAAGGTCACAGCTCAGGTCAAAGGCATAGCAAGTGTATTTCCATTGCAGAGGGGCCAGGAGAGATGGCAGACGGGACGGACCCACCTGTGCTGGTAAGGGAAGAGCTTGAAGAGGCCCCAGAGCTCCTCAGACATGCAGGCGTTACACTCCATCAGGGTAAGCGAAGGGAGCAGCACCTGGTCAGCGATGCTGAGGAAACAGCTCAGCAAGGTGTCCTGCAAGAGCATGGTGATGGCTGAGGAACTTTACGGGTGGGGCAGAGGCGCTCGCACGCCGGCCGGCCAGTAAATCCCCCGCAAAGAGATTTATTTTTATGCCTTTTATGGGCCTGATGATAGAACACCGGCAACACGTGAGCCCTTCAGCGCTAAAGCACCCCCCCATAGCATTAAATGTCTGAGGTGCCCAAACTCGCAGCCCGGGCTGCTGAATTATACACCATATCGACACCGCCATAAAGCTCTGCTGAAATTATGTTAAACACACACAGTTAACCTTAAGACAGCAGCCAGAGGAAGCGCACGGCCACAGACCAGACCCGAGGCACACAGAGGCCTTACCGTTTTCTCCTTGTGGTCCGGCCTGCTCTCGTTCTGGTGCTGTGGGGGGAGGGAAGGAAGTGAGGAGCATGTCGACAAAAGAGACACCTCCCGATGATGCAGACAGACCGGGGGGAGGGGGGGGGGCTACCCTCAGGCCAACCCCGAGCTGCTAAAGCCAGCTTCACGTACCTCCTTCATGAAGGCCTTGCCCAGCCGCACTACCTTGGCAAAGAGGATGGGGTCGTGCGACATGTGAGGGCCCAGGTAGCCCAGCATGCTGAACACCTCCCTCCGCAGGTCCTCGAAGGTCTCGGCGGGCCGCGGCACCCGCTCGCCCTGCAGGGGGCGCAGCTGGCTGCCCTTGGCTCCCTTGGGAACTCCCGCTCTGTGAGGGACAAGGCACAGTGTCATGGAGCCGCCACGGGCTAGCGAGGCCCCGGGGGAACGAGCCCGTCCTACAGTGTCCTCCCTCTCGGCCGTCTCCATTAATTCGCAAGAAAAGAAAAAAAAAAAAAAAACTCTTACCAGAAGAATTAGGATTATTTATAGAATAGGTTAATTAGCATGAATCATGGTGCACAGATAAAGGCACTAATGACTCAGTGTTTGTCCACCCACAGGAGCAGAGAGAGATAGACACGTGAAGTTGACTTGCAGAGCCCGGCTCAGCTGGCCGGGACTGTGTTTAGGAGCGTGTCCACACTCACTCCACGGGAGCCCACGGGAGCCCACGGGAGCCCACGGGAGCCCACGGGAGCCCACGGGAGCCCACGACCGCTTTCATAAGAGAACGGCCAAATATGGAATAAAGAACAGCAATGGCGTAGATATCAGAAAGTGTGTGTGATTTCCTAACATCTCAATCACAAAAAAGGCCTTAGAGGGAAGGTAAACCTATAGGTATATTTGACTGTTTTAATAGAGTGAGTGTGTGTGTGTGTGTGTGTGCGTGCGTGCGTGCGTGTTTGCACATGCATACCTGCGGTACAAAGGTTCTACGGTGAGGTGCAGCAGCTGGCAGAGAGCCAGAGCGATGGCCTTGTGTGAGGTGGCATAGAAGGCAGGCATCTGCTCCATGATACTCTGCGCGTGCTGCCAGTCGCCGATGCGCAGCAGGGCCTCTAGCAGACCCAGCTTCTGGTTGTCAGGAGGCTGTATGGGGGGAGGAGGGGTGAAGGAAGGAGACAAAGGGCAGGGTGCATGGAATGCGGGGAGGCCACGACGGGAGAGGAATTGGCACGACTCAGAGGCTCGTGGCACAAGGACCAGACCCATGACGAGGCCAATCTCCTGCAGAACGTTTCCCCATCATGGGCATTCACAGAGGAACAGAGGGTTGCCATGGCAAACTTAATCTCTGCAGGAGAGCAGCAGCCAGGACCTGCAGCTGGGTCTGAGTGTTTGTCAGGATGTTAACACAAATCCACAGACGCACGCTCACGCCTTTTCTGACTGCGGCACCCTTGGCTGGTCAAGTGTTGCCCCTCTCTGTTAGGACTAACTAATCACACACAACCTTTTGGCTCTCAGGCCAATTTAATACATTAACTCCAGGCTTCATCACTGCCCACCATATGCAAGTAAGACCAAAGATTTAATACACAAAATTTTAAAAAGACGTAAATTACACAAAGGTTAATCTGATCAGGAGAAGAGTCCAGGAGTTTCACAGGCCGTGCTAAACGGAGGGCTGATTATTGCAGATGTGGGTATGGTGAGGAGATTAATAGCTCAGCATTCCTATCCCTCATCAGTAGGTCAAGCACATTTAGACAAGCACAAGCTCTCTCGCCTGTCAATCACAGCTGACATGGCTGCAATGAGCGAAATCCTTCCCATCAGGTGGAAGCCATGGAAGTTCTCCTTCCCGGCTTCTTTTAATTAACAGAGTCATGGCTTGGAAGATTGTGTTTAAACGTAATAAATATTAAATATGCCTCCACTGCACAATGCCGTCTCCCCTGAGACGCCTCAGCCCCAAACAGCTGGTGGCTCATTCGGGGCTCGTCCTGTTCATTAATAAATACAATTAGCGCTTTCAATTTAACGTGGCTGATTCTGTGGCATGCCACAGCGCAGGACGAAGTCATTCAAAGGCGACGACCTTGGAGAGATAAGGGGCAGAGGACCTCAAGTACAGTCATGATTTAATTAACCGGATTATGCATTGCTTTGGAAAACTGCGGAAACTCGCATGAACTTTTAAAAAAGGTGGCGTGAGGGAAGGGTGCGGCGTGAGGGGCGGCGGTACTACCTTCTCGCTCTTCTCCTCCTCTTTCTCCCTCTCTTTCTCCTTGTCCTCGGTCTTCTCCGACGGCACCACGACCATGTTGAGCTTGCGGGCGATCTGCTTGGCCTCCAGGATCTGGCGCTTGTGCTCCTCCACGATGCTGGCGTCCGAGGGGAGCAGCTGGAAGCCGCGGCACAAAGCGCTTCCCGTTAAAAACGCGGCCAGAGCGGCCGCCCGCATTCCAGTGCGGCGCCGCCCACGTGACGGCCCACCTCCCCGCGCCGTGATTCCGACCGAGTCGCATGACTGCCCCCTCCCATTACTGGAGTGAGAAACGCGCCACGTAATGAGGGACCAGGCCCCCACTGAGATCTTGGAGGACATTAAAAGATGGATTTTGGCAAGGTGTTGTTTGTAAACACAAAGCTAGCTGGCTGGACAAATGTTTATTTGGACAGATTATGGCAAGGGCAGCGACAGGGAGGCCAGTAGCACGTCCAGGGCCTGCAGCCTGGTGGACACCATCCTCCAGGAGAGCAGAGGGATCAGATGACATTCCAAGCTTTCGAGGCGACTGCTAATGCCCATCACATTATTTAATCGACAGGTGCAGCTGTGCTAATGCCGGAATTCTCAGATACGAGCCCTCGTATGATTCTTACACCTCCAAGCTCTTGATGGTTTAACTTTGAGGAGGTTAGGAGCGTCTCTGATGGCAGGAGTGTCGGGGGAGGGGGTGTGGGAGGAAGCCCGCTTACGTGCACGTAGAGGTCGTCCAGCTGGATGAGGTTGTGCTGAAGGAGAGCCGCGGCGACGTGGTACAGCGACGATGGTGTCTCCCCATTAGGCTCCTGAGGACAGGGAAAGCAGGCCGTCGGTATGCAAGCTGAAGGGGGTGGGGAGGGGGGGGAATGTGTATGCGGGCAGCCATTTTATAGATAAGCTAGGGAACAGACATGTATCCAGGATGCTGAGGGAGAGCACTTCTGCATGAGCCATACTAAATATTAGAGATCGATATCGATATTCGGATCGGTATCGGCACCGATCCAGACCTATTTGATGGATTGGGTATTGGCCATGCGTGACCGATCCACGTGCTATACTTACTTATTTAGTTTTTGGCAATCAATCGCACAACAGCTCTTTCCCATTTTACATGTGTTTTTTTTTGCGGCATTCAAATCGAACGCTATCGCTGCCCCTCAGTCTTTTTTGCTACTCAGTGGGTGTGAGTACAGTGACTTCCGCCTGCCGTGACGTCATGCGCATACCCTTCGCAGTATGAGGAGCGTAAGATAAAACGTGACGATCTAGGAGTATTTTACGCTTTTAACAGAAACCAGTAGCACAGCGATTTGCAATCTACGTAAAATAAAGTTTTGAGGTGGGAATAGCGTTTAATGGACAATCCCATTTATCAAAGTGCACGCATCTGCGAGAAAACAAAGCCATGGATGATTTGGGAGTCGGTAACTTAATTGGACTGTTTTGCGAACTCGCTGCAGCTTGTGATACAAGAGGGGCTGCCATAGCAACAAAGTGTAACTGCGCTGACGCCAATGCGAGAAAAACTTAAAATTTTAAGCATTCGCCACATGTGTATACTTGCATGCTTTGAAGATATTCATATTGAACTGCAAAAACGCTTAAAACAAGCGAGTAGGAACAGTAAGTTATGTATGTTTGTAGTAGCCTAATTAAATATTTTGTCATACATTACATTTTCCATTTGTATTTACTAGCTTAAAAATTTATATATAAAGTATAACAAAGTAAAAAGAGCTCTTGTATCGGAATCTGTATCGGTATCGGCAGTTGGAATCGAATCGGAACTGAAAAAATGTGGATCGCCCATCTCTAAATATATATCCAAATGACAGACTAGTGTTCGTCTGACCCAATTAATATAGAAGCCCCATGACACTGCACAACCATAGCTAATATTACGATTATCCCGCTGCTCCATTTAAATCAGACAACAGAGCCATCAGAGATACTGCACACTTAGGTTATAAGTGTGAAACCATGACAAGCAAAACGATCATCACAAGTAGTATTTAGTTACTCAGCAGATGTTGCAGTTGTACTTGATCAGGGTATGCAAGCTGGACCACTTCTGTTTAAAAACCCAGCAGGTAAAGCTCTAGTCGCTTAGGATCAAAGCTAGAGCCAAAGAAGTGCGCGCTATGCACCGCGAACAAGGCGCAAGCAGGTGCTCACTCCAGAGCGATCTGAGCGGCTAGGCCCGCATCTGCCTCATACACCCAGTAAAAAAAACGCAGCTGTTACCCCTCACTGAAGTTTGAATCCTTAGCTAAGCAAAAGTTTGGGAAGGGGAAATTATGCAAGCTTTAATCCAAAGCCAGCATGACCTGCCGGGGACTTTAGGGCAGAGAGAGAAAAACAGCGAATGTTACACGGACCTTTACATGAGACATCCACCCACCCACACGCCAATCCACTTAAGACACATAACAGAGTAAGGTTTCTGCTAATTCTGAACATTACCGCCAAAGGTAAGACAAGATAAGAAGCTGAAGATGAAACTGAATTTGAGTCAGTAGCTTAAGTGCAACTAGAAGTGATATACAGCTATAAATCACACATAAAAACAAGGAATAAATGTTAAAATGCTAATTAAAAACTTGCCCATGACAGTGATGCACCATACAGTAACTGACCTCCACTAAAACAAAAGGAATCACAGCCTGTCAGAAGGCAGCCTGAAGTCAAACTGCTAGTGGCCAATTCCACAATGAGAGGCTAAATTTTACAAAAGTCTGATATCCAGCTCAGGCAGCAGGTTTTACAGACCTGAAATACTGCACGTTATGTGTTTGGAGCAGCCATTGATCCAGGGGCTGCAGATAGTGATCTTCAATGCCGCCGGTAGTCTCACTATAACAGTTAAAAGTTAATTCCCGTGGCCGGGCCACAGAGGCTGCCCAGGGATTGGGAGTCGTGACACGTAAGCAGGAGGCTCCACGGCTGCGGTGCAGGCGAGGCGCCGACGGCCAGTGGGTGGCTTCCTCACCTGGTGAAACTTGAACTTGAAGCCCAGGATGTGGCAGAGAGTCTGCGGCTCGCACATGTAGGACTTAATGAGAGGCAGGAAGAACTCGTCCTGGTCGGAGCGGCACTCGTACACCTGCAGGATGATGTCCAGCACGCGGTTGGGGTCCAGGTTGAAGCAACCTGGAGGGAGACAAGGTGAAGTCATCACACCGCTCGAGCGGTGACAGAGCACCTGTCCTCTACAGCGGGAGGGGCGACCTCTGACCCAACTGCCTCATGACTCACCGAGGGCGTTTTTCAAGCGGCACGGTTTGGATTAGGAAATTCATTTATTTTTAAAGCCCAAATGCCTGTCAGGTGCATTTTTTGGCATCAGTCCCAAAACATTTCATCATGCCCCATTCAGGACACACATTTGCTGAAACAAACGGCACAGATGTCCGTACCGTGACGGACACGGGTGCCTGATCACTGCGTTCGCTCGATAGCCAGACCTGTACTAAATAAAAAAAACACTGTACACCTAAGATAATCACTTTTCACGTCTATTATTCTTGAGCCGTCTCTAGGCGCAATTAGCGGAGCCGTCACAAGTCCCGCATGGCAAAGGCCGCGGGCACACGGCATCTTGGAAATGGCAGTGACCAGCAGAGGGAGTTAAAAAAAAAAAATGCACGATTAGCATTGGGATTTCACCGATTTTCACGGAAACTGACAGTCAAGCCCATGATAAAACATAGCAGGGCATAAAACTACGTCATTTTGATTTATTTACAGAAATCTGAAGGGGGCTTTTCTGCAGATTTATGCTCAAATTAGAACATGAGCCGGGTTTAAGTAAAGGACAGATATTCTAGAGATGCCACTGAAGAGCCTGGGGTGACGGAGGAAGGACGCTGTAAGGCGGACGGCAGTAGGGGGAGGCAGCGAGGCGAGGCGCTAGGGGGGCGTGACGACACCCTACCTATGAGCGACTTGATGCTCTCCAGCATAAGGTGGCTGGTGATGCTGCCTGAAAGGTCCTGGCCCAGCTCAGTGATCAGCTTAGCATAGCCCTCATTCTCCTCCCGTAACAGGTTGAACTTCTGCTGCTTGTAGCTGTGGCGGATGGGGCAGGAAAAGCAGAGGGTTTAGCCACACAGACAGTCATAAATCGTGAGCGTGTGGTGTGGGGGGGCACTACTATCTCAGGTAACTCCATTGGAAACTTGACACATTCCACCTCAGGGAAGCACACTGTGTTCAAGGAGGACGACAGGAAAAGTATAGCTTAGTACTCAGGGATTTGTCTACAGACCTCATTCTGCAAAAGAGAAAACCAATTTTCTATGAAGTCTATTCGTCAACTGCTGCCCCCCCACAGAAAGTCCAGGAGTTCAAGGCAATGAGGCAGTACAAGAAGCTTTCTAGACTTTGTGAAGTTCAAAGAAACATAAGACAGGACAGGTTTTGGAGACTCATGTGCTTGAAGCTCAAATAATCCCTAGCTTCTGCACCCTGGTCTGCATAGCATGTTCTAAAGCTGCCAGCCTGCAAAAGGCCCAAACACAGGCAAGGCTATGTCAAGCAAAAGCACAGCATTGTGATTGTTCACACTCAGGCTGCCAAGAAGGGAAATGAGGTAAACAGATGTTCTGACCCGAGATGGTGATCTCCTGACTCACCGCCCCACCACTGCCCAATCCTACAACACACTCACAACAGCTTGGTCTTGATCTTGACGATCTTCTGGTTGAACTGCTGGGCCTGCTTGATGAGGCCCAGGGTCTCCAGTGTCTCCGGATCCAGTCGCTCCTTCAGGACAGCGTCTGACACGAAGAACTGAGGCATGAAGGGGAGAGCGGTATGAGCGGGGGTGTGCACGTGCCCGCCTAAAGGCCGCGGCCTTGGGGGGTGGCCAACGAGCTCGCAGATGCCGTATAACACCACCCCAGCACATGTGGCACAGGCTAATGTGAAAGTGGAGTATGGAAAAAGGTTAAATCTCACAAACAGAAGACGGCATCTAACGGCTGCATACTGCCACCCTGCCAACCAGCTCCTCAAACCAACCATTTCCATTCTTCCCCCCCCCATGTACAAAACCCAAGCTACACAACTTGACATGGACATAACCCATAAGTAATTATTCTGCTCTCTGATTAAGGACAGAAAGGGTGAAAAACTGCTTAGTTTAAAAGGTTAAACAAGCTGCAAATGCATTCTGGACTTTTCTCAGCCCATCCCTAACTTTATCACAACATTAAAGCTTAAGAACTGTGTATTTCATGTCAAAGAGATGCAGCCTTTGTCAGCAGAGAATGTGTTTCTCAAGCAGGGCAGAATGTAGGTCAATCATACTAACTGAGCCAATCTTCAGAGTTTAGAGGACAGCAATGCAAGTGTATACATCAGTAAGAAAATATTTACGTCAAACATAAAGCTCAAAAAAAACTACTGATGAAGTGTCAGCAGAGGCGATTTTATAAATGATTCGCTAGATATTTGTTTTGCTTGAGCAATGCTGCCACCCAGTGGTAAACAGGAATATTGCTATGTCCCTGCAGGCTTACTCAGGTATACAGGCCTTCTCTGCAGCAGATATTTCCTGCTGCAATACAGTCAGAAACACCCACACTCACCAAGCAGGCTCCCACCAACTGAGTAAAATGGTCACGTTTGGATTTTTCTTCCAAGCAGCCAGTTTCAATATCTGCATTAAATAGCACAGAAAAAAAGATCAGTGCAGATCTCAGAATTACTGATACGCATCACAACTTACTTTCATATACTTGGATGTGTTGAAAATGACTGATTTAAATCGCTTCATTTCAGATAATGCTGAAATTTCCATGTAAATTCAAATAAAAGCTATATTTGAAGAGAACTTAGACACGTACCTAATACACAGAAGACATCTGCTAAAATGGATGACATATCTTCTCGCAACTCCTGCAAATAAAACATAAACTGGTTGTGTCACCATAGGCAATACATTAATGTCCAATACATAAAAAACATGAGAAAAAAAATGTTCCACATCACCGGAAAAACACGGCTAAGAACAATGGTGACAACAAGGATAAAAGCAACAAAGTAATACGTTGTAACATTATAAAAAAATTACTGTCTAAACAAACTAAATACAACATAAAAAAAAATACTACAATCACTGATTAGACATCCTTAAAAAAAAAAAAAAAGTTAAATTATTTTGTTTTCAAGTCTTGAATTCAACACCAGATGTCCTAATAGACATTAGGAGACAGGCTATGCCAGGCTAAGAATCCATCCATCCATCCATCGTCCAACCCGCTTATCCTACTGGGTCGCGGGGGGTCCGGAGCCTATCCCGGAAGCAATGGGCAAGAGGCAGGGAACAACCCTGGATGGGGGGCCAGCCCGTCGCAGGGCACACTCACACACCATTCACTCACACATGCACACCTAAGGGCAATTTAGCAACTCCAATTAGCCTCAGCATGTCTTTGGACTGTGGGGAAAAACCGGAGTACCTGGAGGAAACCCCACGATGACACGGGGAGAACATGCAAACTCCACACACGTGTGACCCAAGCGGAGACGCGAACCCGGGTCCCAGAGGTGTGAGGCAACAGTGCTAACCACTGCACCACCATGCCGCCCAGGCTAAGAATCAACTGGGGAAAAATGTTTCAGAATGCCACACACTACAATGGCAGTATTGCATTCAGAAAAACTGAGGCTATCCTTACATGTTGGATTGTTTGTTTACCTTCATTCATGTGCCAGCAGGTACCAGCAGTTGTACTATTGTGGTTAGAGAAATTGGGCCCTGCGCTGTCAGTAGGGTGTGTTACCTGCCAGACTGGCCTCTACAAGAGCTATAAACCGGATATTGACTTATTCAGACAGAAGCACCGCGGCCATCACAATGACACAATGGGTTAAGCAGACCCCCAGCACGCCACCTGGTCACGCGGTACATACCATGACGTCAGCCAGGCCACTAGCGGCCAGTTCCAGCTTCAGGGTTCCCCGGATGACGTGCGAGGAGAGGTCATAGAGGGCAGCCTGGAGCTCTGTGGCAAAGCGAGTAGAAAGCGGAGCAAGCTTACTATGGTACCCTTCATGAATTAACACCTCACTAAGAGACACATGCGCAAAATACACCACCAAACAGGACAAGTATTCAGAGAAAAGTTTTCTTCATTTAAAAGGCAGCAGGAACTGAGATAAGATCCAACCGTGAAGGCAGTGGAGAAGGCATTCATTTCTCACTCATTCAAAGCAGAATAACAAGGACTACTTTGATACTAACTCAGACATACTGTAACATCCCATTATTGAAAATCTCCGTGTGCACATTTCATGTAAGAACCCTAATAAAAGGTAGGCTTTGGGCACAAGGCAGGAATTTCAACAGAGATAATGATGTAATGAACCCAGCACCAATCTACAGCTTCTCATTAATGATGCTGAGTAGGCCTCACTGACTTCATTATTAAATGTACTGCTGGCTGCTTTTAATTTCGATAGTCTGAATATGACCAACATCTTGGGATTTTTATGCATTTTATGATTTTGTAATGTATCAACGGGATGTACCAGGGGTCAGAAGGGATGGAGAAAGTAGAGGAGTCATATTACAGAAAATGCTCAAGCCAGAATTTCATACAACTTTTCAGACTAAAATTCACAGGATGATGTTACCACTCCACACTTCTACCACACCTCTAGGCACCACTTGGTATGTTGTGCTGGCACACATTACAAATAAAATCAGATTAATGTTAACTACATACACAAGGCAGTTCTTTACCTAAGTCTTCATTAAAAAAAAATATCTGAAACAATCATACCACCACAAACAGTTTTGGAAGTGAGCACAACAGCGACATTAAAGTTATAAATCACAACAAAACAATACCACCACCTCCAAAAAAAGGGATTTAACTAATAAAGAGTACTTCAGAGTTCTACTGTAAAAGATTAATGGGGAGAATAAGTTAAAAATATCCTTCAGAAAACTACCTAAATTATGAGATGGGACCCAGAGGCTGACCTTATTTTCAAGAAAAGTAAGATAAGCCAGAGTAAAAAATGCAGTTTAAGACTCAAAATATCAACCCTGCATCATAGGGTGTGGCCTTATCGTCTCTAAACACCGAGTTCCCCTCGAGAAAATAGGCCTTACAACATGTGAGAGACCACATACCCGTTTCACCGTGCCGCATCTCCTGTTACCTAGAAACCACTAAAGAAACATAGAGTCCTTCGAGACCCAGACGGCTCATCTCTTAATATTTTGTACCCAGATCTAAAAAAAGTACCTTAAACCCGCCATCTTTTTAAAATACATGCCCCCTTTTGTGTAAGCCAATGTGATACGATATACTCACATAAAGTTTTCATATAAAGATTTTATTTATTTATTTTTTTTTTAAATGATCATGCTATACATAGATGGAACATGTTCTATGACTTCTGCAATGCTTTCTCCGCGAGTTGCAAAAACTAGTCACATGCATGGTAAATGAACTAATATATTTAAAAAAATAAATCTATTTTTCAAGAATGTGACAGAAGAAATTCAAAGACATAAATGTACCAGTTATTTAAAAGGTTGATCAAGTAAAGGGGAGTTCACTGTCATTTTCAACTTTTAATTTCCTGTGTTGCTGGGTAAAAACTGGTCTGAAATATGCTACAAAAATGCAAAGTCTACAAATACAAAAAGGGGAAAATGGTTTAAAATCCAGGAGTTACACACATAATGTACAGAGGTGTAGTACAACTTGGAATTAAAATGACAAATTTCTTGTGAGAGCAAATAATTTAACCACAAATATCTGAAAAGTCCAGTAACCTCTTACCTTTCTGTGACACATCATCAGGTCTATCTGACAGATTCCGACATAGCTGTAGACTGAAGAAAACAAAATGATAAATGCTTAAAGAACTTCCTGTTGGTCTAAACACACTAAAGGTCATTATAGATGAGTATTGCATAAATCATCAGATGTAAAAATAACAATGCTGGTGCAATATAAGCTTTTCAGGAGAAAAATGTTAAACATTCAAAAGGAATCCCAGGTAAAACAAAACACTTAAAAGTGACTCCCAATTATTTTCTAAAACTTTAAGAAATTTAACTAATTCTAGTGAAAATTGTTATTTTTGTAATACAAATATCTCTGTAAAGTATGAAGAATTCCATAATTCCATCCTGAAAATGAATACTGGTAGGAAGGCTCGAAGGAATTCGATCAAGCAGGTTACCACACACACACACAAAGAGGGAATTTACACATTCCACAAAAACTTTAATTTCAAAGGTCGACAGAAAACTACGTGCGTTATACGCCAAAACGAGCCCTGATTTTCCAAGGCAGGTGGGTTTTGTATCATCCAAAAGCATTTAGTGGAATTCGCTGTCGGTGGTATAATGCAAGTAAAAGACGGCCAGATTCCATTTAATTTTGGCTATGCCACTGCAGAAATATATGAGTACTAATAAATGGAGAACAAGTAAAGGCCATGGATATATTGGTACCACCACACAAGTTAGAAAATACTCCACCGGGACAAACTGTAGCCACACAATATGGACTACAGCAGACGGGCGGCAGAAAATTAATTCGAGTGTAATTTGGTGTCTCTTACAGGATGTGTTAAGAAAATACCGAGTATATGTCTGCTGTTAAAGCAAAGTGCTTAGATTTTACGGTCTTAAATCTCACTCTGGAACCCCAATGCCTTGTTTAAATGCCTCGGACCGGCTACGTATTACGGTCAAGGCTCGGTCCGCGCAGCTAGCCGGCCGGCTAACTTGGTTTTTCATCAACACAATCGTAACCAGCGACAGAGGCTACCAGACGGAGACATGCCGGCTTAAAAGAGAATAAACAATGTTATCTGGACACATCTGTCCGCGTCGACGGAAAGAAAGTGTGCGCCACGACCAGCGAAAACCTCCGGGGAGGTTATCGAGCGCGGCTCATATGCTACACGCTAGTTTGCCATCCCGTGTCTGTTACGCTCATTTCTTCGGTAGAATATTTAGGGTTGTGTAAGAGTACCTGCTCGGATTAAAATTTCTCATTTTAAAACATAAATCGGTGTATTACTGTACTGCTCCGGTGAAGCTGGTCAAATGGACACAATGCAGAAAGTACTACTAGAAATCAGTCAGTCGAAAACTTGACGAGGCGAACCGAACACACAGAAACAACTTTCACAAAACTAGGAGCATAACGCTCCCGTTGTCTCGGATCGAATATCGGGGGATCACTTACAACTCGCTTTTTCCCGATTTTTCCCAGTTTTTGATCCAGTCAGTAGGGAGGACCAATGCCGCCATCTTCCCCACCATACCGCACATGTAGCCCGGATGTTTAGCAGAACACACCGGGTCAAAGGACGCCAGTTAGCGGTGCATGGCGGGACGCGCGTGTACGCGCGGGTCGGGGCGCGCGCGGGTCCGGTCTCCCCGGCCGAGTGCATTGAGGCGCGTGCTGAACGTTAACACAATGCATTTTAATTATAATTATGTGCATTATATAATTTGCAGTTTATGATTAATAAGGGTAATTTCGCCGGGGTTTTTTTTTGCGCGGGACCTCCTAAAGCCCGTATGTGCGGTCTTTTGCTTCCTGTCAGCGGAAAAGGCCGACTAAACGACGTCGTCGAAGATAAAAAAAAGTGTGATTTCATATTCACGAAGCACTGTTCTTGTACAAAAAGGCGATGATAGTACGTAGGTCACGCTTTAAACTTAGACTTTTGTGAAACTCGTGAAGTTGTATTGGTTTATTTTCAGTGATTTTCTATTTGAAGCCAGTTTGCCAGTAATTAATCATTTAAGTATGGGTTTTTGCACGTCGGGGTCATTTAATACCTTAGAATGGCTGCTGGGCAAAAGAAAAATGTTTATGTTGTAAACGTAAGTTTTGAGCATTAATAGCATTTTAAGTGTTCCCCATATTCGCCGAACTTTCTTCCGGTCCCATGCACTGCAGTGGTAGTTCTTGCAAATGGGGCCTTGACCTTAATTGCAGGGTTGCCAGCTTTGATCAAGGGCAGGGGTTAGCTTTCCAATTCGAAACAAGTCTGCACACGCATTCACATGTATGTAACAGTTCTATTACCTTGTAAATAGTCTTTATGGTATGAAACTGCCCCAATGCTTTTGTTGTAGCTAACTTTAGGTTTATAATGGAATAATATAGATTTGTCGTAAGATTTCATACGTGAAAGCGTCAGTGTCACGCCAGATGAGTGACAGCTAGCAACCCTGTAATAGGGAAGAAGATTAACCCGTGACCGAAATGGATGGAGGAACAAGTCTGATGAACATGCAACAGAGAGGTTGAGCTGATGTCAGGTCGAAAGATACTCCAATAAAGGGTGCAGAAGGGAGAAATGAAAAAATGTAACACCAGCATTGATTTCTAGGTTCTTGAAGTTGGAGTGACAGTAAAATTTAACTAAACATTGGCAACCACTGTTTTCAGTGAGAATATCTGCTGTTGTAGTATAGACTTTAACTGGTTTTAACTTAATAGTGTTTTTTTTTGTTATATAATCATCCAGTACTTCTAAATATTGTTGCTCAATCTGTAAGGGGAGATTTGTCAGGAATGGTTATATTAAAGCTAAAATGTAATTACTGTTATATTGTGAAATGTTTTTAAATATAATTGAAGTGATCCCTGCCCAGTGTTTCCTGGGATAGGCTCCAAACTCACTGTGGCCCTGTATTAGCTAAGCAGTTTTGGAATACGGACAGGTCATTCACATATATTCTCTGTTATATTCTCTGTATTCATGAACGAAATCCCAGGTAGGTAGGTGGGGGGGGGGAGCGGGGAGCACCTCATCTGAAAGCCAAGTGGAGCATGCAAGTTATGCAGCGTGAGAGGAAGAGTGAAAGTATTGCAAGGCTGGGGGAGGGAAGACATATACACACAGTGCTTTGAAAATTCATTTCAACAATAGAGATGTTAGAAACATGATAAAACTGAAAAAGCTGCGCTTCAGAATTACTTTTAGCAGCCATTTATGGTTACGGGAACAGTGAACATACCACATAGATCATGGCTATTCACCTCTACTAGCAAATGGGCCAAATAGAATCTCTACCTTTTGTAAACATCACTACCTTTTGTTTTGCTTTAATTTTTATAAATACGCACTTTCATACTGCAGCCAGTCCATTCGATAAATGTTATGTGTTTTTCTGTCAGGTCCATAAAGAAGACAACATGAATGCAATAATAGAATTTGTCAGGCTAAAGAAGAGGACTGTTTATAGTAACATGAACAGCAGTCACATGGCGATAAAGTGCCTATAACAGGTCCATATTCATAAATATGAAACAGTATTCAGCGTAACAAAGCAGGCCTGGTTACACTGGTCAACATGGTTTTTGTTTCCTTCAAAAAAAATTTGTGCACCAGATAGATTTTGTGATGCCGATCACAGAAATAACTTTGAAATCTTCCCAGTGGGCAAGGTTTTTGAGAAACAGCTAATTTTCTAATAGTAGGGAAGCAATGTTAGAATCAGAGTGGTTTGCATAGTAATGGGTATTCTAGTTTACATGCCTGGCAGTAGTAGGTCAGAACTATTGTATTCTTTAAAAAATAACTGATGTATTTTATACTAGAGACTCATTTAGATCAAATCCTTCATGGAAATCTATCTCATCATATGTACTTGGGTACATTCAGGCACGCCCAAGCATGTCTTAAAGTCCAGGGCAGAAGAACGTTGCACATGAGCCACTGGTGGATCCAAAGAAAATATTTCTTCCACGTTTGCACATCAAACCTGGGCTAATGAAAAACTTTGTTAAGGCAATGAATAAGCAAGGCAAAGCCTTTGCGCACTTGCAACAGATATTTCCACGTATCAGTGATGCCAAGATGAAAGAAGTCATTGGTCCACAGATCCATGAAGTGATGAGGGACAGTCATTTTGATGGCCTGCTGCAGGGTGTCGAACCTGTCACATGGATCACCTTCAAGAGTGTTGTTTCTAACTTTCTGGGTAACTACAAGGCACCAAACTACGTCGGACAGGTTGAAAGTCTGCTCCAGGCATACAAATCAATGAACTGCAACATGTCACTGAAGTTGCACTTTCTCCATTCTCACTTGGATTTCTTCCCAGCCAACCTCGGTGCAGTCAGTGACGAACATGGAGAAAGGTTTCACCAAGAAATTGCAAACATGGAGAAACGTTACCAGGGAAAGTGGAGTCCGTCTATGCTGGGGGACTATTGTTGGATACATGAAGGCCCGGACAATTTTCATCAAACCATTTCTAATCTTCTCTTGTGTTGCTTACGTTGCAATATCATAACATAGGCCTATGTCACTGAAGACGTTATAATGTTAAATGCATAATTGCAGTTTTCTTTAAAACCTTACCTGATTCAAAAATTTCAAATAAATATTTGTGTTCAACACGTTAAAATCTATTGGTTTCACCCAAAATTATGGAAGAAACAAAAAAATCCCTAAAATGTGTTGCCCAGTGTTATAATACCACCATCAGCTGTTCCAAGCAGGGCATATTGAAGGTACATTTAAAACAGGTCACAGACTGCACAGAGACTCTGCCTCTCTGGGAGGCTCTTTTTATACCCAATCATCTTACAGACCTGTTCAGCCAGGTGTTTTAGCATTACACAACGCTTCCAGTCTTTTGTTGTCCCTGTCCAAACTTTTTTGAAACGTGTTGCTGGCATCAGATCCAAATTGAGCATATATTTGTCATTCAATATTTGCTGACTTTGTTCTGTTTTCAGTTAAATACAGGTTTGTATGATTTGCAAGTCATTGCATTGTTTTTGTTTACATTTTCCACTGCTTCCCAAACTTTTTTGGAAACGGTTGTAGTTTGTGTTTTTTCTGATATTTTAGTATGTATCTTTGTTTATCGCAGAATTTCAGAGTATACATGAAGAGCTTGTTAGTTTTTGAAGTATGCAGTCAAGCCTCTACTTTTACTACTATTTACCAAACTAGAATTTAAGCTCAGTAAAGAATTCACATGCAATAAAGAAATCATTCACATCCAATCCACTTGTTCCATTGTGATCAATGGACGAGCACTCGCACATGTGGCTTTGAGTTACACCTCCACATTCAGAGGATTCAAAGTCATGCGTACCACATATGGTGAAATTCTTACTGGCATGTTAACCCACACGGCAACAGATATGAAGAGAGCAATTAATAGTGCCACAGTAGACAATCTTACAATAATGTGCATGCAAAATATGAATCGTTGACTGTTGAGTAGTCTTATGACCTTTGTCAAGTGAGCTTTATTTGCCACTTGTACAGAGTACATTGGATTTCTCACAACTTTCCATCTCATTTTCTTTACGGAATGACATTACAAAAGTGACACTCCGGGAGTAGGATCAGTCTGCAGATTATCTATTGTTGTATTGGTACAATACTGTAAACACAGCCATATAATATTAATTCAATGTAAACAGTAATAGACAGATGGTTGTAAGAAACACAGCAACTCAATAACTTCCATCAGATATAGTTTAGTGGCACAGTGCAATAGAGTGTATGATAGTATTCACTAATTTAGCTTAGGCTATGTATGGCCTGAGGATAGAAATGGATGTAAAATCTGACAACAATATCTCCTCGCAGATGCAAGTAGGAAAAACTTGCAACGATTTCTGTCTTTCAGAGTTTTTTTTACCCTACTACGGCAACAGGAGGCATAGATACAATCGATAAACGGCTGCATAGATCGTATTTGTGGCACTTCAGACTGGGACACCATTATGAAGACACTTTCTGCAGCGCTCTGGGTAAAAACTATCCCAGATCCTTGATGTCTGAGTGTTTCTGGGCCTGGACCACTTGCTAGAGGAGAGGAGACATAATGTCATCTGCCTTTCGGGAGCAGCATGTGGTGCAAATATCCTGGATTGCTGAGAGCAATGTGAGTGTGATGATTTGTACTGCTTTCACTCCTCATTGTAGTGCTTTGCGGTGCTATCATGAGAAGTTGCTGTACCAGGATATTCTGCATCCCTTGAGGATGGACTTCTCAGCCTACATGTAGAAGTTCCTGAGGACTAGAAGTGACATTCAGACCTCTCTCAGATGTGTGAGGAAGTAATGGTGTAGGTGAATCTTCTTGACAGTAGCTGCAGCATGCTGTGCCCACTTAGTGGGGAATATATAGGAAGATCAACATAGTGCAGTGTTTCCCAACCCGGTTCTCGGGGACCCACAGATGGTCCACATTTTTTCTCCCTCCCAGACAGTCTACATTTTTGCTCCCTCTCAGCTCCCTGCCAGACAGTCCACATTTTTGTTCCCTCTCAGCTCCCTGCCAGACAGTTCACATTTTTGCTACCTTCCTGCTCCCAGCAATATCGTGTACTGTCTGCAGGTCCCCAAGGACCGGAAACACAGAGAGGAATTGTGAGAGAAAACACATACACATGGTTTCTGCTTTGAACCCCTGACCAAAAGAACTGTAATTGTGTATTGTATGTGGTCACATTGCTGTAGAATCTGTCACATTTTGTATACTGAAGTTGGTGATGGTATTGGCGTACCTATCACATGCTAACAAGATACATTTGCCAACTCTAAGCTATGAAATGGTCAGAAGGCACCATGCATGCTATTACACTTGAGCTCAGGTGCATCCAATTTCATTTAATCATCTTTGCAATGGGAGGAGGTACGGTGGTACCGTGTTTAGCACCACCATGGTTCCGTGTGTGGAGTCTGCATGTTCTTCCCATGCAGCAATGGGTGTTCCTGCAGGTACTCAGCTTCCCAAAAACACACTGGTGACTTGGAGTTACAAAATTGCCTGTAAGTGTGCGTGTGTGCCCTGTGATGGGCCCCATCCTGCCCTCGTGAGCCTGAATAAGACAAGTGGTTACAGAGAATGGATCTGGATCTTTGAGATGTCTCTAAACATTTACTGTAGTCCCCTTGTGAGAAATTCACTTTATTGAACATGATCATTGTCCAATGAAAGAAGCTGGGATGCCCAGGACTCTGAGTTAACCATCCAGCCAAATTGGGCATTTGGGTAAGGAGGTCTAGTGGCAGAGTTGACCAAGAAGCCAGTGGCCAGACAGACCTTATAGCTCCAGGGAAAACCTGTTGGAGACACAACCACCTCAGCATTACTCCATCATTTAGGTTTCCATGAGCAAGTGGCTCAATGGAATCTATTACTGAGTTACAGGCATATGACAGCCTGCCTGAAGTTTGTCAAATGGTACTTATAGGACCCTAAACCATGAAGAAAAAGATTGTCAGACTAAAATTGAAGTCAGCAAGTACCAGGTACTGCTCATCTCCTGGCTAATACAATCCCTATGGTGACCCATAGTGGTGTCCAGGAGTGGTACAGCAAAAGCCGAGATTTAAAGATTATTAAAAAATATTCTCCTGAAAACTGCAGTTTATTGACATGCAAATTAGTGAAAACATGATTTGGCTGAGATGCTGGAAGCCTACATACTAAGACTGTCAAAGTACAGTTCAACTTCACAGCAATATCAGCAATATGAAGTATGAGGTTTTCACAGACCAGCCCGGAGGGTGAATGGAAAGGTTTTTTTTTTTGGGGGGGGGGGGGGGGGTGCATAGCCAGGGAGAATTCCTCCAAATTAGGCCTGCTTATAAAATTGAACTAGTCTCACAGGTACAACCATTGTTGTAATTCACAAATTTATTTAATAAATAGGTCAGTATAATAGACTACATCAAAACAAATCAAGTTCTTCTCATAGTTGTAAGGGTACAAAAAAACAACTTTACAAGATGATTGTAACGGCTTTCAAGGACTTAGTAATCCATTTTTACCGATCAATATATGTGAGAAATATCTTGTTTTGAGGTGAATCAATTTTGTGTAACTTAATGGTCTGTGCTCACAATTTAAACTAAAAGGTCAATGGACAACAAGCACCTTTTCACTTATTTGACATTATAGGTTGCTTCACAGGATCTTCTCAAAAACAAGATGTTTCATGGTGTGCAGTCATAGGTAAATAAGCAATAAATAAAACCAAGTGTGTAGAAAATCAAAGAAATGTGTATGCGCACAAAACAAACAAATTGCAATGCTAAATATTCTTTTAATTGAACTGTCAAAAATAGTATTTTCCTCTTGGTGACAAATCATTTTGGCAAAATTAATTCAACTGGTAAAATAGCTAATTAGTTTAACACCATATAAGCAACACGATGCACAGATTCCAATTTGAGCCACAAAGGTTTAATTCAAGGGTCATTTAAGGTGGGTAAAGACATCTTAAACAAACCTAATCATACTTCAGATTGTCACAACTCAGGAAGGCTTACATCTTAAAAGAGTCAGACAAATACAATAAAATAAAACAGACAGGGATGGTATATGGGTGGGAAAATGTGTGTATGTGTGTCTGTGTGTGTGTCTGAGAGTCTGATTATGTATTTTCACTTCATCCACACATGCTCACCAATGAAGTGGTTGAAAACGAGTAAAAGAAAGTGCTCACAAAGACTCTTAAATAGAATAACTGAAATCTAGAACCTTATAATACACAGACACTCATACACACTCATACACACGCACACACACGCACACACACACACACACACACACACACACACACACACAGTCTATTCAGTTATTCCATCAATGCAGCGGTAAGAGACGGACTCTGAACAGCATTTCATAGCATGAAGGTATTTACTTACGTAAAAATAATTACGTAAAACACAATATGCCTCACAAATGCCTGCTTATCTACTTTCTCAGAAACTAAGGGTTTTTCATCTGAAACAATTCAGTAACTCAACCTTTGAACATGACTGGTTTTATTTACTTACATGGAAGAGTTCGGCGTGAGAAAACAGTTTAGTATGACAAGCATGTTAAGGCTAAGGCATGGAATGATTAGAAAGAATATACCTCAATAGACAAAACATTTCAGTTAAATGTACATTTTGTACGATAAGTTAGTTATACTTAAGCTTTGTCTAGCTGCCCAAGCACTGCAGAATATTATTCACGTCCAAATAAGATTAAGATTGTTTTTATGTTACAGAATCATATTTAAGGATTTGTGAAATGACATTTCAAATTGGAAAAACTTAAAGCTGAATTTCAAGGGTCTGTTCACATACCTATCATCCAAACTAATTTACATATAAGAAAAAAAGGTATAGAAACCTGAAGACTTTGCAAAGACAAAACAAAAAAAACAATATAAAATACAAATTTAAAAATCTTTCTTAAATGCATGGCTATACATGCATTCATTTTTTTAAAACAGTTTCTTATACATTTCTTAACATAATTTTAGGTTGGAATTTGAAAGTAAGAAAAACTAACTGCACAATTATAAAATCAGCACCAATTTATATAACTTTATTTAAAATGTAAATACCCATTCCAACACTCTAATAAGCCGTATATATGTTTAAAGAAAATCCTTTTCAACAAACATACTCTACCAAACTCTGCTTTGTTTTTTTTTTTTGTTTTTTTTTGTTTTATTAGAGACAATACAGTGGCACTGCTGGGGAGGTTCCCATTTGCTTCCTCAATATTAGTCTCTCAAAAGGACAGGCAAACAGTTCAAATCTTTGGGTAAGCTTCATTGATTACTGTGTTGTACAGACATCCTCAGGTTTCCTGCACTGTGTGGAAATCCTAAGAGCAACTGTAGATTAAATATTTCCAATTAATCTGGCCAGCAGTCACCATGCACAAGCGGACCTAGTCATTTTCCTCCTAACCTATAGTCAGTTTGGGGGATACAAAAAAACAAAACAAAACAAAAAAAAAAAAAAAAAGAACTGGAGGCCTCCCAATTTTGACACACATGATAGTTCTGAAGAATAAAATCAATACTATGATGAGCAATAACCTGTTTATAAATTACTACTTTACACCTGATTACTTACTATTACAAAAGGGCTATACATAAACAAAGTCTTTATAAGTTACAAAAAAGTTTCCCTGTTTTCTATATATTGTTTGTTTTGTTTTTATTTTTATTATTATTTTTTTTTTAGAAAATATCAATTCTGAGAACCCATTAATTAAAATGAACAATGCCTTCACACCACATCACATTTCCCTCACTTTTTTTTTAAAACATACTTAATATATGGCTACAAACAACCTCTTATTCCACAGCTTTCAGAAGTCAGCCAATGTGTAACTACAGGGAAAGCTTACCCAATGATTGCAAACGTTTTAGTAGTTTTAAACAAGTTGTTTCTGTGAACAGCAATGCTGCCTCTGGATGCCCTTAAGTCCATGAATCGTGTGAGAGATTCTCCACGGAGAACACATCTACACAGCATCTAGAGGTTCACGTTAACACATAAGAGTCTTGTCTTCGTACATCATCCAATATTAGCTTAGAACATTGAAACCCCAAGGACCTAGAAGAGAAAAAAAAAGTTAGATCAATTCCAATGACTGAGTGAAACCATCTTAATATGTATATCCATAGCAACACAGTTAACATCCATATTATTTCAGTGGGACATGGAATGCAGGGGGGAGTGTGGAGGGGTTTGTCAATTTCCAAAAATAATCTATACACTTTCAATTTTTTATGACCCTTCACATTTCTGTGACGTTTTTGAACGACGTACACCAGTTGGCAGACTAGGTTGGGAACCCCTACACTAGAACATTCTTAGAAACATCCTGTCCTGTACAGCTTGAATTTATTGCCATCTAGTGGCAACAAGAAAGGTATTTTTCTGAAGCGTGAAATTATAGATGTTTTATAACCACATGCATTTCTATACAACATAAAATAAAATGGCTGATTTCTTACAGACTCATCCATGATAGAGGCAGGATCAAAGAAGTCTGGCTTGAGCTCCGATCTCTCACGGCGATTCTTTGACGGTGGCTTAAAGAAAATAGAGACAAGAAAGGTCTTAATACTGATACTTTTTGCATTTGCGTCAGACAGGATAAACTTTATACATAAAATACTTCAAGACCCAATACAGTCAGAACGCTTTGTAATTCACAGATCCGCGAATATTTCATTGGAGCCGTAACTCCTCATGTACGCTATGCAGTCATTTCCATATTTTCACTGTACTGCAGAGCTAATTCATAATCATCATCATCTTAAATCAATATTCATCATTGGTGAGTACCCATACTACTGTTTATTAAATATTTTTAATGTATGTATTTTTGTTCTCTTTTTCGTGTTTAGTGCACACATAGTATTTTTACAACTTATTTCTGTACCTCGTTACGCAATTTTTAATTGATTGAATACCTCTACCTTGTATGTACAGTACATGTTTCCTTTACGTATTTTATTGAATTGTTCCTTGGTTTCATATATGACTTCTGTCAATAAGTTTACTGTCCCATTCGTTTACTCATTTTACCTTACTGTGAATGCAAATTCTAATTCTATGAATTAGTAGGGATAACATTAGTATACTGTAGTGTAAATGTGCTAGTGTGACAAATATCCATTAGGCGATACTGTACTTTTACAGCAAACTTTTTTCTTTTTTTTTTTTAAAAAAGGTAATGTATTACACTAACTTTTAAAAGAAATTGAAGTGTTTTGGGAGCACGACTAGGGTCATATTTAGGGTTTAAACTACAGAAAAAAGCACATATTACCATTTTTAGTGACTCTACCAAAACATCCGTGAATCCTCCTCATTCACGACAGGTTCTGGAACCTAACCTTGTGAATGTCCAAGGTCTGACTATTTTATATATTATATATATATATAAAAAAATTATAATAATAAAAAAATTGAGCCAAATAGAAAACTTTGAACCTTCCTGAAACCAATTCCTGTAGTTCACAAAACTGATTGAACACACACCAGATCAATATCCATGGTGTCGAAGTCCATGCCTTCATTGAGATCTTCGATCCGACCTTCGGATGACATCATCACGTCTTCAACAATTGGCTCTTCATCATCCTCCATGAGGCCAGTGCCACGGCGACTGCAAGAAAGCATAATGCACAACATCAAATTACACGCTGAGGACAACTTGTAAGCATATCGTATAATTACACATACTGTATCACAAGATGCAAATATCTTTTAATGTTACGCTGTAAACAGATTCAAAACTTAAAATGCATTTTCAACTTTAGATTATTGTTACTGAATGGCATTATTCTCCAACACCAACAGAACTGGAAATCTGTTTTCTTTTGCTATACTCCTGTGCCATTTGTCATCCAATGTGATTTTCATATGGTACAATACTTCATTTATTCTGGTAGACCTCCATTTTTTTTTGAAACTCTGATTCTTCCACTGACTGTCTAGCCCTACTATAATAAAAGGAATAGACCGTGACATTTATTCATACATATAAATTCTAACCTGAATGCCACTATTGACTGTTTGCATTGTCAACACATGAATCTTTTGTTCTGAAACCTGGAGTACATACATATTGCATTTCCATTAATATCAAGAAGTTTCCTAAAGCTAAAATTTAATCATTAAACTAATTTAATTTACCCACTAAAATGCTGAAAAAGTCGCAACAAGAATATTATAAATGTACTACAAGAACATTGTTGCTGAAGCAACAAGGGGGGGGGGACAGCAAATGAGAATCGTAGCGTTAGAAATGAGGTAAAAAAGAAAAAAAAAAGCATTTCCTATTTTGCAGATCAACATTTGCATTCATAATGGATATTTTCCTTTACGCTTTGATTGCATTTAAGCTGCAGCTAGGCTTTCGTATTAGTCTGAATAATAGGACATACTGTCAATGTCCCTAAGGTTCTCTGGATGTGTGTGGACGTTACTCATATGAAATTCAAGCAAATGCAGGTTCCTGCAGTTACTGATGTGTCACATAGATGCTAAAGTAAAACGTTTTCTGTGTAGTATAACAATCAAAATGTTATACCTCACACCATGCTATGTTACTCAAGTTTACAAAAATCATATTACAACAACAAACTTAGTGTTTAAATTCTCTCATAATGGCCATGTTACCGTCTACTATCCACTTCCTCAACAGCTGATTCACTGTAATCAATAAGCAGCTGTACTGTGCCATAAGACCAGTGAGCAGGGCACTGCACATAGCTACGGATAACTGGAAGCGGACAGGGCTGCATTACATGGCATGCTGCAGGTTGCTCCGCAGTTTGGCGTAGTTCATGGCGGCCCGCTCCTGCTGCTGCCGGACCTCCTCCTGCTGCCTCTGGGCCAGCATCCAGGTCACCTGGGTACTGCACACAGACCGTAAGTGAAGACCAACTCCAGTGCGGCACTGGCAGTGTCATAGAAAATGCACGTCCTCTTTGGGGAAATGCCAAACTGCAATTAGGACTAGACAAAAAATATTCATCCTTCAAACGGTTTTGTGTAAACAAGTACAAAACAACACTGCAACGGTTAGGGTACTATCCTGGGAATAAATGACAAAAGATTCCACAACTGGTAGGTGATATGGAGACTGGCCACGCAAACATGGGGTTAAGCTGAGGAGGGGTGGAGGAGTCATGGGAGATCCTGCGTACTTGTAGTCCATTGGTGTTTGGTGGTGGTGCTGCTGTTGAGGCGGCTGGGCGTGAGCGTGCTGCTGCGGCTGCGGCTGCTCGGGGGGCAGGGCGTAGACCCCCATGTAGGTGTCCTCTGGCCGTATCCGCTTGGTGTCTCTCATGACGGTGGAGGTGAGGTGGGGTGAGGGCATCATGACAGGCGTCTGCATACCCTGCTCCCGGTTCATCCACATACTGTCACTGCTGCTGCTGGTCTCCTCTGCTGCAACGTGGAAGAGGGGTTTATAAGGCGCCGGGAGGCTCTCTTTCATAAAAATATCTGCGATCAGAAAGGGGGCTGGGCCTTAAGGGGCTGAAATGGGGCCGACGGCAGCGTGTTCGCCCGAGCTGAGGGGCGCCGTACCTTCGGCCAGTTTCCGCTTGCCAGTGGCCGGCTTCGCCTTCTTGCTCCGCACGGTGGAGCCACGGCTGCTGATGCCGCTGATGACGGACATGGTGTCATCGTCCCCTCCGGCCTGCAGGGAGTTTCTGTAGGAGATGAGGGGTAGCCAGCAGTCCTCCCGCTGCAAGGCCATCTGGAAGGTCATAAACCTCTCCAGGTACAGGTGGCTGGGGGGGGGAAAGGACGCCGTTACTTGGAGTGGTAAAACTGAACTACAGCACCACAAGTTGCTCATTAATCTGGTCATAATCCATCAATGTGCTGAAAGCTGGCGGCGTGAAAATTAAAATCCGTGGATGCCATAGTCAACTGCTCCAGCTAGATTATGCAGTCATGAGAATATTTGACTTACACTGTCCTCTTGTCCTGCCGCATCAGCTTGGAGGAGAACTCGCTTAGGATGTCCAGGAAGGCTAGATTGAGAGGAGGGTTGCCTTCTCCATGGGGACTAGGCTCCTTGAATGCAAACTCTATACCATCCCTAAAATTAAGACAAAGCTTTTTACAAAAGCGCAAATGACCATATTTAAAGTATATATATCCATCCATTGTCCAAACCATGCCGCCCCTGAACTATGTGTGTGTGTGGTGTGTGTGTGCGTGTGTGTGTGTGTGTACACAACTTGAGTACAATCGTCCATTCTGTTACATGTTTGCTATAGTCTTATAAATGCAACAGCCTTCCTTTTAAGTGACAGATGTCACCGAAAACATGAACACATTTTACAGGGCCTTACTTGTGTAGCATGGCGATAGCTTCCCGGGTCTTCAGCTGATCCAAGCCGAATGTCAGAGAGAAGCGACGGGCCAGCTCCTTGATCCCGCAGAAGGCTGAAGACGAGCGGTCGAAACTGTACCCCAGGTCTGACAGCACCTCGTTGAATAGCTGGAGAAATGCAAGCCATGTTAAATCCAAGAGCAATACAACATCAGCCAAATTTGAAGGGTGGTCAGTCCAGCTAAATATTAAAACTACCAATTAAAAAATAATAAAGACAGATAAAAGGAGAAAGTAGGAGCTGGGTTAGAGTACCACCTCTTTATGGTTTATGGTTTGAGAATTTAGTTATCAGTAAAGGTCTCATTACATCAGCTCAAATTCTTAAAACCAATCATAAAACAAAAAGTAACAGCATAGTTTTTGGTTAATATGAACAAGTGACCGTAGACACTTATTTTTAACCCAGACTCGTTTCTAAAATCAAAATGGCCTCAAAATTTTACCTGTGAAATATCACATGTTGGTCATTACTTTTCCCTTAAATTCAATTCAGTGAAGTGACAGTTCATCCAGAGGAGGCAACAGCCACATGGGTACATATGAGGAAGGGTCAAAATGCTTAACAGAAAATGCACCCATACCTGCTGCAAACTCAATATGAGAGTTTTTGCACACTGGATTTTATCAATCTGCCTTGTTTTGCTCATGGTCTCCTTGATGATATCACCATAGTCGTTGTAATACTGTAAAGAGGGGAAAAAAAACACATTAAGAGCAGACACCAAAAACAGATGCAGAAAACCAGCCAAAAGCAGCCAGTCTTACCCGCATATATTGCTTAAATATGTCCGCTCCAGTGTTCATTTCCACAACGTTATAAATAATAAGTTTGCAGTATGCGGCAAGAAGATTTCTTCTCTTGTGCAATGCTTCAATTTTACCAGCTTCATCATCTTGCTGTCCGTCTGTTTGTATATAGAAATGACACAAACAAAAATGTTATATAAAGCTAATAATGCAGTGGCAAATTTCAATTAATTCCTGCTCCCTCTAGTGGTTGGGATGAATTAGCCTGAAATACATATAAAGCTTTAATTGGCTATGAGGCCCTGAGGTACACATTACATAGAATACTAGAAAAAAAAATGGCTGACATCTATATGTACCTGCAACTCTAACAGTTGACTACTTTAATGGGGGGGGAAACACACTAAATATGTAGGCTAGAATACTACTGTTCACCTGTACTGTTGCTATCGTCATCCTGGTCAATAAACACATGGTCCAGAACAAAGCTGAGTAGCTCAGACTGCAGGGAGGAATCTGGAGAGTAGACAAGAGGCTCGAGCCCATCACGGCCCCCAGACACAATCTGGTGACTGAAGATCATGAGGATGTCACACAGGATAGTGAAAGCCTGCAGAGCCAAAGGAACATCAACACGCATAAATATTCTGCTTCAATTTTAGGCAAGCAGTTCTTGCATGAATTTAAATCTGCTGTCCAGTCCGCTTCTTATTGGCAACTCCTGAGGAATTTATGCAGACTGATTTTGTAACCACCTGCTCTTTGACAGCTGTGTTCACATTTGTTAAGTAGCGCTGGCACATCAAGCAGAAAGCCCTCATCTGCTTCTTCAGTGTGAGCATGTCCTCCTGCGGAGCACAAAGACCTGTCAGCACGTGTGCCACAACTTTAGGTCAATTACTACATGAAGAAACTAAACTTTGCCTAATGTACAGCTGTACCTCATTAACACTTCCCCCCTGAAATTAAACAAGGAGCATGAAAAACAAAGCAATGCCGGAAGTTAATCTATTACAATGAAAATGCTAAACTGCTGCATTTTGCTATAAACCTAGGGCCCTCATAGCTATAAGAAGATGCTGTGTAAATATGTACCTTTTTGGAGCTGCCTTCGGAGACCCTGGCTAAATGCCACAGGATGACATAGTGAGTGCACTGCAAAGCATGGATGACAATCTAGAAAGGACAAAAGTGAATGAAGTTAACCGTGCCTGTTGAGGGGGGATATGGAGACTCCTGCAGCTTGTTGAAGGGCTGGTGCCACTAACCTGCTCTGGCATGTCTCCATTCTCAATGCCTGTATTTAGTAACTTGTATGTGCTGGTGAACAGGTCCCATTTGGAGAGGTCATGTGCACTGGGGAAGGGAGATAATTAATAAACATTCTATGAATTGCATCTAAAAAGTTTGGTTTAACGAAGTCTAACTTTTTCCAGCCTCTCTCTTACTTGTGGAAAGCGGTGATCCTTTTGAGCGTGGACAGGACCTGATATGCGTCATCCTCGTCGAGTTCATCTCCCTGGGTCAAAGGCGAATTTCAGGATCAGAGCAGCACCTGCTTAACTGTCACCATGGAACTCTCCTAGAGGATGTCCTCTTAACACATGGACAGCACCACCCGCCTACCTCCTGCAGGAAGTCCTCCAGCAGCCTGTTGAACTTGTCCACCTGCTCATCAAGCAGCTGGCTGCGCGCAATGTTAACCCTGTTGAAAATGGTGAACTCTTCATTGCAAAGGGCATGGTAGGTTTTGGAACAGGTTTCCAAGACCTCAGTGTCAGTGTGCTTCGCCACGATCTCCCCAATCTGCCGTAACAAAGACTCTAGGTGCTGAGGGAATGAAGGTGAGGAAAAAGGAAAAGCATGAGCTTGGCTAGATTATCTCCATTCACATTAAATGGTCTATAAAAGCACCAATGGTCTGAATTTTTCTTGTAAACCATACCAAATTTTATGCAGTAACATCTTTCAAAAACAAGCGACATAAGTTTGATCTAACGGCAGGTACAGTCGCCCCTCGGTATCCGTGGGGGATCGATTCCAGGACCCCCCATGCATACCAAATTCTGTGGATAATCAAGTCCCTTATATAAAACAGCTTAATACTTGCATATAACTTATATAAATCCTCCTGTATTCTTCAAATCTATAGATTACTTATAATATCTAGTACACTATTGTTTCATGAATAAAGTCAAGAAAAAAATCTGTAAATATTTCAGACAATTGTTGTACATAGAAAATATAAATGCAGAAAATATAAATTCACCAGTCTCCCTTTCTCTCTCTCTCACACACACACTCACACTCACTCACACACACACACACACACACACACAAAAACAATACTTCATTCTTATGGATTCAGAGCAGTGCTTGGGTGCATGGCAAATTCAAGTAGCTTTTTGTGACTTTCTGGAACTTCATCCATCCATCCATTTTCCAACCCGCTTATCCTACTGGGTCGCGGGGGGTCCAGAGCCTATCCCGGAAGCAACGGGCACGAGGCAGGGAACAACCCTGGACAGGGGGCCAGCCCATCACAGGGCACACACACACCAGGCACTCACACATTCACACCTATGGGCAATTTAGGAACTCCAATCAGCCTCAGCATGTCTTTGGACTGTGGGGGGAAACCGGAGTACCCGGAGGAAACCCCACGACGACATGGGGAGAACATGCAAACTCCACACACATGACCCAGGCGGAGACTCGAACCCGGGTCCCAGAGGTGTGAGGCAACAATGCTAACCACTGCACCACCATGCCGCCCCATTCTGGAACTTTTTCCCCCTAAATACTTTTGATCCGCGGTTGGTTGAATTTACGGATGAGGAATCTGCCAATACAGAGGGCTGACTGAATCTTTAAATGTATTTTCACTGCTACAACACTGAAACATTTTGGGTTATTTTAACCACTTTTCTGGCCCAACTCAGCCCACAGGTGAATAAGCTACCACTTCCTAGCAGCACATGGGATCCAAGACTATTCAAACAACTGTGCTTGCCTATAATTTACTAATATCTAGACTTTGAATGAACTTGACATGGAGACTTGAATAAATGTCAGGCCTGTCCATTACAAAGTACATGAATAAGCATTTGTTCACACACCCTCCAAGGACTACTGTGATAAAGTATTATAATGCATACCTTTTCTAATCGTCCTGTGGTGTAAATTTCAAGATCAAAGAACTGTGGCAGTTGCAGAAGATTGGTTACCTTCTCTGCATCTACAGAGTACTATGGGAGAAAGATACAATGTTACAGCAAAAACACAACATATTTCTTTAATATGCTGGTACAAATGAACTGAAACATTCAAACGAAGAAAAGAGGTACCTTTGCAAGTAACGGTGGCAATGCCACAGCAAAAAGCTCTGTCATTCTTGTGCGATCGTCAAGCTGGGTTTTTTTTTCCTTTGCTGTCAATACCTAGGAAATTATTTTACAGAAATAAATCCCACAATAATGAAACACACAGACAGACATGCACAGAATGCATATAGGAGCCTGAATAGTGTAATATGCATGAATGTTGCTTGTGGAAGATTGTAGCAATAGCGTGTGAGACACGGCAGTAAGAGAGGCGCTCACCCTCTTTCCGGTCCCTCTGCCTACAGGGGGGTGGCACTCTGAGGCCTGACGGATGGTGCAGAGCATGATTTCGATAAGCGCAGTCTCCTGTCGGTCAGTCAAGGCTAAAGGCAAAGACAAGCAACTCAATCATATGCATTCATTACCATCCAAAACAGCAATAGTTTTAGAAATACTTTGTTAAATTTGTAATCATTCACAAAGTCTGGTGCTTTTTAAATTTAAATTTTAATGTGTTCTATAAAATCTTGAGGGTATCAAAACCAAAGCAGTGATTTTGCATTAAATTAGACTTAGGCTTTTTCACCAGACCAGCTGGCTTCTCGATGGCATCAATTTAAATTACTAAATTTTTCACAGTAACAGGCAGCACGCTGCAATTGATGGAAGTCTTCACCACATTCCTGCTGTGTGCCTTCGATGGCCCAGGTGGTTCGGTTAAAAGGACTATAGGCTAAAATCTATGTTTAATAACCAACTCATCATATACATTTTCAGAACACAAAGCTTTCCCTTAATTTCCTGTTCCTTGTGCATGATATGTACAATCCTGTACTGCACTCATGAATTTGCTAACAGAGGAAACAGCTGATGAGCAAGTTACGATACATCCGGTGTAAGAGGATTCCCGGAGTCTCGTGGATTTACCTTCTTCTCCTGGCAGTGGCTCATCCAGGAGCAGGCTGATCATGCACTCCCAGTCTTTGAGGATATCTGAAGCACACTCCCACATGCTATCCACCAGGTAGGCTGCATGCTCGTGGAGCTGTGGGAATCACACATCAAAGAAACATCAATAAAAGCAGCACTGCTAGGAAACCTGCACTGTCCAGGAATTGCAGAAATACTACCACAGAAATGAAATACCGCACAGTCATACGCTGGAGTCCTGCTATCACCAGGACGCAGTACGAGAGAGGAATTTAGCTATGGTTCCTTCACAAAAAGTAAGTGCCAAAACAAAATTGGCTAGAAATCAAATTGTAAACAGCACTCAAATAGACACAATTAATGTAACAAAAGGTGTAATTTGAAATGAAGCATCCTTAAAGATGACAGTATTTTAAACCAGGGCTGGGCAAAGTGCAAAATATTGAGTTCTCACACCATGTGGACCATAACAGACAGGACATCAAACTGCGAGCACGGTTTCGAGTTTTACTCTGTCACTGGAATGCATCGCGTTTGCCACAGATTTAACAAAATGAGTAGGGAGAAGAAAAGCCATTCGCCTTCCAATGTATGCAAATATTTTGGATTCCATAGAGATAACCTTGAGCAAAAGCAAGCACAACTTGCAGAAACACTACAAACAGACTCTACAGGGAGATCTGTTCTATTTCTCTACAGTTTATTTTGTGTAGATCTTGCACTCCTTTTATGCTTTATAAATATCGCAATATTGATCACAAAAAATTCACATTGTGATATTTTTCCAACATCGTGCAGCCCTAGTTTAAACATTCAAAAGTAACGTGATTTTTTCATTAATGACGTTTAATTTAAATTTCAAATAATCAATCAATCCATCTTCTGCTTAAAGTCAATGTCTTGGTCAACATAAATAAGTCTACCATTAATGTGAAAAGGTAATCTTTATGATGTTAATTCAAAATTTCTATCCAGTCATTTCTAAAACAGAAAAATACTGTACAACACTAATACAGAGAGCACTTTTCCACCACACCAGGCACCATATTCTTGATACTTTCCCTTTTCCACTGACTTCCGACCAAGCACCAGTACTAAAAGTTCCAGTACCTAAAGTACCAAACTACCTGGGGTACTTTTTTTGGTACTTTGGAGTGGGACTTGCAAATGCTTTCTTCGTAAATTGGTTATGTAAACAGTGTGCCTCTAAACAAACACAAGTGCCATCTTAAAGAAAAGGTATGACTTTGGGGGGGACACATGATAATGGATAGTGCGGACAAATTAAGAAATTCGAGTTTTAATCGTGATCTGGCTGAAAGATCAGGTACAGCAAGATCAGGATGGCATGACGAGATATACAGGAAAATGTACATGCAGTATAATATAGGCCTAGTGGGGGGGCTTGGTGCTGAAAAATTTCCAAACATCACAATGTGATTTTGTAATAAATATGGAAGTATTTATAAAGCAAAAAAAAAAATTTATTAAAAAATAAATTTCTCAAACCCGTCTAGGAACATGATTTAAACAGCAAAGAGGAAAATAATTATGATTGCATGCAGCACTCATGCAAAAAGCAGCGGAGGTAAATTCTAAAGTGATTTAAAAAAAAACATATACTAGATAATCTTTAAAAGGAATAATCATAAAATTGCAAAGCTTGCCAAGTCTTTTTCATATTACAGTAAAAATGTTTTAGCAAAACTTCAACTCCCTGTACTATAAGGTATCTAGCTCACTAGCGATGTAAGAACTACATGCGCATAACATGCAATGATATTAATACTGTACATCTTCGAGCCCTATAATATACTAGTCAGTTTTTATACCAGTGGAAAACCATCAGCTTGAAATACCATACTTTTGGTTCTGTCTTAGCATAAAATAACCTCTCAACAAGCCATTGTTTGCTTCAATCCGCTGTATTGCTTATATTATGCATCTTCCATGTTCTGAAGCTAATTATGAATGACTTTCTGTAAAAAGCTCTACTGCCATGTGCCCTCTTTGCCGACTGAGTCCATGTAGGCTTGGGTATTGTGTACAAGGTTTTAATAATTTTAAATAAGACAAGCAGTCATGATAGTCCATACTACCCAACCGTGGGTGGATCATAAAGCTGGTTCCAGTGCCTAACCACAAAAGACTCAAATACCTCTGATCATCATTGATGGAAAATTTCAATTCAAGTTAAATGTGACCATTCTTTCAAGGATCAGATTTAAACCAGCAACCTTCTGACTACTACACCGGAGCCTGACCTGCTGAGCCACACACCTCACCTACTCATTTGATGTTTTTTCATTATCTTTAAAGTATTTGACACTCTCAAACACACTCAATGTGAAATAACTGTACTGCAGCCTTTCAAAAAAAAATTTAACTGAAATGTTTTTAAACACGTGTGATTTCTTAAACTTACAAAACAAAAAATAAATTGAACCATCTTTACAACCATGACATTACATTTTCAGGGGACTGGAAAAGCACACAATGCTCAGTAAAACAGGGGTCACCAACAAGGTGCCTGCGGGCACCAGGATGTCCCCAAGGACCACGAGTCGCCCTCGGACCTGTTCTAAAAAATAGCACAACTCACCAGTGAGCAGCGTCTAAAATTCAAATTTATCCTGTTCTTTAATCACATTTGCATTTATATAGATTTGAAAATGACAATATCTAAAAAAGCATTTAAAATTATACATGAAGTTTAGATATGCTTAGAAGGGTGTTTGAAACTGGCAGCCCTTCGTATGGCTCAGTACCCGTGAAGTAGCTCTCAGTTTCAAAAAGGTTGGTGACCCCTGCAATAAAAAAAAAGACTGAAAACATGACACCTTTCCTCCCATCTGACCTACTTCAGTCTGTAAAAGTCTAAGCTTCCGGAGAGCCAAAAACAGAAATCAACAGGTAAATATCTTCTCGATATATACAATTCTCTGATATTAGCGAATGCAGCTTTACCTCACTTTCCAGGAAGAAAAAGACAGTGGTCTTGATGAGGTTAGCGTTGGGGCTCTGCCGACCCCTCCGTTTGGACACCGCCTCCTCCTCAGCATCCCGGTGACTGAAGAGTCTGCATTAGACAAGGCTGGAATCATCTCTGTCCTCTCAACACACAACAGGATGAAAGACTGATATTACGCTATTTTAATTAGAAACGTGACAAATGGAAAATGGACAAACACCCTCCACAAGAGAATTATTTACCCATTATGCACAATGAATCAGTATTCTTTGAAACAGGACTGAAGCTAAAGGTGCCAGATTTCATCTCAGTAATATTTAGACCATAGGCTTTCATATAATACTCAGCAGATAATGACCATCACTCACAGCCTTAACAGCATTTTAAAAACACCTATAAATGGCTTCTTTATCCAATTCATGAGCACAGGGCAACGTTTTTGGCTGCCTGCTTGATGGCTGTGGGCAATGTCTACTACAAGCCTCACATCTGTATGCCAGGCACATCACCCTTACTGATAAATGTTACTCTGTGATGACAAGATTTAATGCACAGATGAAGCACGCTGATAGAAGAGTGAGTGAAATATACTGCTAAATGGTGATACTCACTTCTTAAAAAGGAACTCTCCAGCTGCTATAGCGACTGGCCTGTGAGCTGAGTAGACCAAGTGATAGACGCTTTCACAGTCTTCGGCAGTAAGGACTTCATCGCTGCTTCTGTAGAAAGAAGGTGGGGGTTCAGGTCAAGGAGAAAGAGCCCATGGAAAAGCCGAAGTTCACTAAGTTTACTAAAGGGTGGTGGTGGGGGGGGGGGGGGGGGGGGGGGGGGGGGGGGGGGGGGGG